CCATATCGTATTATACCATATCACTTCATATCATAATATAGAAATTCATATAAAAAAAAACTTTCATATTTCCATCTTAAGTAAATAAATTCATATCACATCGCAACTAATAACGACATCTTATCATGCATCTTATAGTCCCAGCGTATTATATTACGTCAAATCTTATAATACCAAAGAACTTTATTCGAAAATATAAGTTTATATTTTCTAAATTATTATTCTAGTAAATAAATAAATTAATATCACATCATATCACATTATATCGTATCATATCACATCTGTTCATAATACGGCACATCATGACTTCTAATCATATTCTGATCAATTCATAATATGTCACATCAATTAATTCTTAACTTATTATGATATAAATGCAAAACAAATAAATAACTTAAAATTCATATGTTATATCACCTTTCGGCATGACATACTTAATACATAAAATCCCATCATATCCTTTAAATTTACATAATATCATATAATATATCATCATATCACATAGCATCACATCATATCAGTTCATATCTTAACACGTCACATATGACTTCTGATCAAATCAATTCATCATCCGAAATCACATCAATTCTTATCATATCACATGAGATTACACATTAAAAACTAAAAATCTATATTATACATTTTGGCATGATTGATATCACGTCAATGCATCATACGAACATATTCTCGTATTTCATCAAATCAAACTACATAATATAAGTACTGAAACGTATATCAAACGTATATTTTATCTACTCATCATTATCAATATTTAAAGATTTCACACCTACATGCTCCTCAACTAACTAATTTATGGTATTTTGTATACATTCTCATATACATACATACTATCTCGTGCACAAATGCTTACACTAATTGTGTGACAACTAAATATTGAAATCTACTTTACGCATGCGCATAACCGACCCAATCAAAACTGACCACTTGTCAGCTAAGCAATGATATCTCGAAAATTTCACTTCCCAAATAATTTAATTGCTTAACTTGCGCACTTCTCAAGTGACAGTTTCGCAGCAATAAAATTACTTGAAATATCATAAATAGTCAGTAGGGCGTTTTGAGTTTTAGTTTTCGTAACTCCATTGGCATTTCTTTACAATCTTCCATTTGAAATCTAATAATAAAGTTATTAATCGGCTCTCTGACGGAATGTGCACGTTTCCACACTTCATGTCATGTCGCTCAGCGGCCAGCATTGACTTTCAAGCCTGAAATCCAATCGGCTAAGCTGCCCAAAAGGGGCGATCGCAGCTGCCACCGCTGCCGTCGTTGCTATTGTTGTAGCTGTCAGAGCATTTGCAACAGACAGTTCAATGCATTGATGGAGTGCGGTTTAATTTAACTCGTCGCCCACAAAGTGTTAAGTCAGTAAATAAATAAATCGATTTTTCGAAAAGCGGTCCAACACTTTTGCTTTAGTGTAGTTCGAAATTTCAATTTCTATTCAAGATGAAATTGAAAGTGTTTGCCAACAAATTATGCCTACATTCAACCTTAGATGAATTTGTATTATTTGCATTTTTTCCCCCTTTCGTGTGCATTTACATATTTTGATGAGCATTTAATTTTGGATGTAGGCGGTTTAAGCTGTCGTATTGTCAACAGTTTGTCAATACTACTAATATTTCCATATTAATTCCATGTCAGCTGTTAATAAGAAATGCATTATCATGCATGCCGTTGTCTAAATATGTATGTGCGTGTGAGTGCATAAACCTGTTCATCGATTGACTAGAGTTTGACTGTTTGTGACTGGCATGAGAAGAAAAAATGCTAGCAATAAAAAAGATAAAACCAATTTGGATACTATTGAGCGTAGTTGTATAATTTCACAGTAGGTTGCCAATTATTTATGCACAACACTAGTCCCTAACAAGGGAGAGTAGCCTTTCCAGCATTTTTCACTGCTACTGCATCATAAAATTCGTAGAACTCATCGTTCCATGCGAGATTCGCCGTTGCTAATGCGTAAGAGTCCATAAATCTATCCCGTACTCATCTTCTCTTTGCATCTATGTCATATGTTTAAACGAGCCTCAGCATCAAGTATTTATTTTTACTTCAAATCTCAAGACTGACGTTTTTTCGGTATATAGGTATAATACCTCGTTAGACAATATTGTTGACTACTTCAAAGTTGTGAGTGGCATGTAAGCCGTGGTGTGCAGCACATTGTCTGCCTATTTGATGGCTCCTCATTCCTTGCCAGACTCATTAGTCGTAATTTTTTATCCAATTTAGAGAAAACGGATGGCCCCATGGTCTAGGCCGTAGTATGAAATGATAAGGCAAAGATACTTGGTTCACATATGCATATAGATGTTAGGTATCGATTCGATCTTTTTGGGTCTTTTTCAAAACTCAAGGATCGCAGTCACCCAAAAATTAATTTAATTTTGAACCAATTTAGAAAATTATTTTCGTAGCAGAAATACAGTCTAAGATACACATTGTTTCCCAAGCGGCGACAGTTTTCACAAAAGTACACATCATAGTACCTACATGATACATACCTACTTTAAATAATTATATAAACATTTTTTGAGTTGAGTCCGCCGATATATCATAATTTGATGAAAATATTGCGAGAAAGCAGTTATTTAATTTTAATATCAGGTCCCAACGAAGCCTACTTATACATTTTCGTTTATAAAACGGATTCCGCAAAACAACTCAAATTTAGATCTGTAAAGCGAAACATAGAAAATAATTATCCTGCCACCACTTTTAAAGCTTCAACGAATATTTGGCTATTAACCATTGTAATGTTATTATTGTATTTATCTGGAACATACGTCGCGTATGAGTAACATTCGAATGTCGACAAGCACAAGACCTAAATTTCTAGAAAAAACAGACAGCTATTCTAATATTATTCTTGAATTTTTTAACCATGAAAATTGAGAATGTTTCGCACACAAAATTTAACATATACATGTATATATTTACATACTTGTATAAGCTGTAGACGCACACTTAAATACTAAGTTCATAAAAATGTAGCATAAAAACTTGGGTCAGCGCATTATTAGATGTAGATGTGATTCTGCACGCCTGTGTGTATGTATGTGCGTATGTGTAATAATTTGAAAACAATTTCGCCTGCAACAATTCGACAATGTGCCCAATTTTAAATGGACCGCATCCGCCAAGAGTCACACTCACCGCTGTGCTGCGTATGCGGTTCTTTTTTACTGTTGCTATCGTTCGCTTGGTCATCAGCCCCGCCTGAGGAAGACACAATGCTTGCCAATTGCAGTGGCAAATATCCAATTCACTGCTGCCGGTGATTCGCGCGACACTGTTATTTTTTGTGTTTTTATTTATATGCTCATACACTTAGTTTGCGATTAGTTAGTTTATTTGGGATTTTTCAAATACCTGACGCACAATCGCGCAAATAAATTAATGCACGTGTGTATATCTGACACTCGTATACATATATTTGTGTGAATGCACTTACTAGATATTGATATCTAAATATAAATAAAATATATAAATACGGATATATGTATAACTATATATACTGTGTTATCGGCTTAATTATACGGCAATAGTATTACAATTTTCGGCTTTAATTAAATATCAATAAAGTACATATTTTCAAAAGCAACTATTTTTGATAATCAAGTACTTTTTTTGTATGAAATACATTTTTATTTTTTATAATAAAAAATGAATAATTATTTAAATAATCATGAATTATTAAATAATGAAGGTTTTATTTAATATTATACTGTATTAGAACGCTTCATTCAGCTTTAAAAACCGACAAACGTATTTTTCCGATGACACAGCTGAGGTTGTGGTTTTCCAGCATGTCGAAAATCTTGAAAAATAAGCTCCAATGAAGCAAAAAATTTTAAAAACATGTTTTTCATTTTAAAACCTTATAAAAAATTAAACCAAAAATTTTAAAAACATGTTTTTGTGAAATTTTTTTAGAAAACTGTTATAAAAATTTTCTTATCAAAAGAGGTCTTTCTGTATAGCCTAAAGAAATTAGACTGTATACTAAAATCAAAATAAGCGCTATCCGTATCCCACGGAGCAAGAAAAAAAAACACATATTTACAGAAAGCTTTTTTTATAAAGCTTTCATAATCTTCCAGCAGAGGTCATCTAGTGAAACCTAAGGAACCTACACTAAAGACTAACATCAAAAACGTCGTTGAACTTTTAAATAATATATTTCACAAGCTTTTTAAAGTCCTTTCACCCATCCAATAATTGAAGTTTGCATATTTTGATCATATTTGGAAATGTACAGAAAGTTTCATGTTATTAAGCCTGATAGACCTCAAATATAATATCAAAGTACTACATACATATGTACATATGTATAAAAGCAGGGAAATTTAGATGCTTGAAGAATTTAGATGTTATAAAACTCCTACTATAAATTCTTATAAAATCCTGAAGCGATTTCCATCAAAAATGCTTACAAAACTTTAAAAGAATATTTTGAAAGATATGAATGAGCTAACAAGAAAACACTCATTTTGTACAATTATATTTATGTATTTATATACGCTTGTAACACATATTTATGTGAGAATGTCATACATTGACTCTGATAAGGAAATAAATTAAGCTCAGGTGAATGAAGCAGAGAACACTGTATGCGTATTTGTAGTAAGTGCAAGCGCCGCACTAGAAAGTGATAGTATTTTTGTTTGCATTGCAACGCGGCGTGTCAACCTAAAAATGCGGCATTTGCCAGCACAAATTCTTTGGTATTTTTGGCATCAAACGCATTCGCGCTTCGATTTTAGCATTAACATTACGCTAATGAGTTTACCGAGTGAATGTGCTTGCACACTCACATCCATACATACATATAAGTATAACTTGAATGGATTATATAATGATACTTAGTTTTATATTTTAGAACAAATTTAGCAAAGGTTTCTAACTCTTTTTATTATAGATTTAACTTATCTAAAATTTTATTTAATTTCATTTGATTATTGTTGCAGCACGCGAACTATGTACGTCAAGCGGCTGAGGATTACTTGGCTCGCCGTCAGGCCCGCAACAAATCGATGACGCGCTCAATGACTTCCGGCTCGGCCGGCCCCATTCTCGCCATGGGTAATGTACATTACTTGCCAGCAGCTAAAAGCGGAACATTCTTTTCACGCGACAATGTGTCCAATTTTATAACCTGGTGCAGGTAGGATACATAATTTGTTTGTTACTATACTATATAATATTATATATATTAGTATATCTATAATAGGTTATAATATTTTTGATAATCTAGTACTCTTTCTGTATACTTTAAAAAAAAAAAATGGTTCATTCAGCCTTAAAAATAGAAAAAAACGCTAAAAAAACTGAGGTTGTGGTTTTACAGTACTTCAGAAAGTCTCAAAAAATAAGTACTTTATGAGAAATGAAGCAAAATTTAATAAACAAAATCGTAAAGCGTATTTTGGATAGCTGTTAATAAAGCTTTTGTACCAAAAGAGATCTGCTGATAGTAAACCCTAAAAAACTAGGCAGATGCCATTAGAGGATGAGTATTTTTAACTCATTAAAGACGAACACTTTATTTACTAAAAATCTCAAAGTATCTGTCCTTAAGAATTAGAGGCATGAGCTGTTCAGATAATTGGAACTTTTAGGACCATCTTTTCACACTGTTATAGAAGGAGAGGAAATAATTTTTGACCACTTGTTATGTAATAGCACTTGTAATGTTATAGCCTCCGGCTACATATGTATTTAGCATAAGATTATTTCTACAATTTCTTAGCGTTATTCAGAATCTTGTGAATCTTAGAACAACATTTAGGAAAAGAACAAAATCCGACTATTTCTTCACTTAACACTAGAACTACGAAGATTTACCATATAACTATTTCAAATAGGTCTCCCTCTCTCTCTGAAAATTAGAAGCGTAAGAACAAAATAATCTATAATATTATTCTATACACAAATTTAATAAAAATCATGACATTATCGTAAAATATGAAGTAGGAATAAAGAGAAAAAGGTATAAATAAATGATGCAACTGGTCATTTTGACCGGTCCGTGGTTCTAGTGTTAATATTAATAAAAAACTTTCCTTGTTCTCAAATTAATGAAACATATGAATATAATCAATGGAAGCTCTTGAAAAATTGTACTATTTGTAATCCCTTCGTTGGCTTTAATCGAAATGTTTAACATATGAAAATCTACTTTCTTGCAAATTTAAAAATTCCAAGCTGTTATTGCTGAAGATTTCGGACCCATATAGCAGCGGATACAAGATTACTTAAAAATGTTCTGGAACTTTGAATGAACACTTAGCATACTAGAATTTTTCGTCCGTTGGATTTCTACGTCCTCCTTCGGACAATGATATATTTCTATACATTTTATGAAACAATGAAGGTACATTAAATAAGTTAAGACCAGATTAACCAACGCATAATGCAGGATTGGTTTTCGTTGTAATGAGTATCTTAACCACAGCAATGGCAGCGGAGGTGACAAATCAATAGGAACATCCCAAATCCCAAAATTTAAAACTAAAAAGTATAGTAGGGATATCCAAAAGATAAGGCTTCTAAGGGTATTTTAATATTAGAGAAAATAGGAAATAGTATTGCTTGAATATTACTTACAACAAAATCAAAATATTTTAACACTAAGTATTTTTCAGGAAAAGCCTTAAGATAATCGAGTGCCTACTATTCGAAACTGATGATTTGATTATGCGCAAGAACGAAAAACATGTGATCCTTTGTCTACTGGAAGTGGCGCGTCGCGGCGCCAAGTTTGGTGAGTTACAACAACAGCACATACATCCATACTTGTAGTACATATATTCAGTTTCTACACTTTTTTTTTATAATTTGCATATTAATCACGTGTGTATTTTGCAAAAACACACTGACATAGAAACATACATATATACAATGGCAAATGTGAATAGTATATGAAAATAATTGCAACGTATTAAATTAACAGGTATGCTCGCACCCATGCTGGTGCAAATGGAGCGCCAAATCGATCGAGAAATCGCCGCCGACAACAAAGCGAATGGAATTGGGTGTGGCACACAGACAGACAACGCCGATGCGACGGGCACACAAACCGAGATCGGCATCAATACCGATAATGTCGCCACAGAAACCGATATGTTCGACAGCGATTCGGAGAATGAGGACGACGACGATAATAACCCGATGCTGATGTATGGCCCACAACCGCAAATTATCACCAACGATTTGAAGAGTTTGGATGAGATGGTGAGTCCAACAGCCACATATGTATCTATGTATGCATTTATGGGTTATAAGTTATGCGTGAACATTTCACCTTTAAATATGTAATAAAACTTGCAGTGCTTTTTTTTAAATAATTTGTGCATCAAACCTGAACGCGAATTGCCAAATCTGACAAATTTACATTTAACTGACAAGTGACAAGTACATAGGTATATCGACATACTTATTCGTATGTACTTATGTAGGCACATTTTTGTCAAATTACATAAGCAGCGATATGAACGTATTTGACATGTACTTACAGTTAATTACAAATTAGCAGATAAATTACATGATTACATATTTTCTGACATTAACTTTGTGATATCGCGATGGCGCTTCGCAAAAAGTCTTCAAAGTCAATTACATTGCATGTGCTTACACCTAAATACCTATGTATATGTGTATAAATAACTGTTATATTTGAAACATCAGATTATACCTTGGCTCGAAGTATGTACTTTTGACATGTGAACGTTATGCAATGTACATTACGTTAGTTACTTCGTGAAGTTATTTAAATATTGTCACGTACATAACCCATACATAAGAATTAAAAAAATAAAAAAAGAAGTTATGTTACAGTTACTGAGAGTAAAATTTTGTTGATATGTAAAACATTTTCAGAAAATAAATAAGAAAATATTCCAATTTAATTTAATTATTAATAAGTTTGTTCCTTAAACTTGCCCGTTAATTCAAAGGAATGCAATTTCTGGATAGAAAGAAAAAATAATATTTTATCCAAATATAATTATAAATATATCAAAATTTTCATAAAGTAAAAATGTACGGAGAATTTCTATATTGGTCTACATCTAAGACCGCCATATTTTAATATACCATATACATACATATATGTTCAAGAACTTTCCCAAAATTCTGTATTTGGAAAATTTTCTGTCTCGAGTACTAATCATTCTAGCAAACAGTTCTGATTCATTTTTTGTTTTTCCTTGTACCTAAAGTCTGTATCCCATATTTTCTTCGGCTAGTTCAAAAAACATTGATCGTTTTTTGTACCATTGCTTAAAACTCAAGATAGGCGTTGAAAGCACATGTTTATTGTATTGTGATCCTTCAGACTTGTATTCTTCGAAAATGCGAACTTTTTTTTATGAGTTAAAGGGAGCCTATTGAGTAGCGGCATAAGCCTCTCTATTGTACTTAGTTTTTAGTTTGACAGTTCTAGTTTCAACTTTTTGTAATATTTGAGAAGGGTTTGCGAATCTTTTAGGAGCATAAGTTGTTTACTTGATTAACCTCGTAACTCCAAAATGTAACATAGCTCAGACAATTATATTAATAATTCTAGTAAACACGTTAAATAATCATATCAATTAATTCAATCAATCAATCTCGTCGTAGTCGTTCCTCGTTTTTTTTCCTTACATAATCTATATTTATACTTTCTTATTTTAAACACCGTTATATGTTTTTTTAACAAAGCACTCTTTATGACAATGTTGCTTTATTTTAAGGTAAACTTAAATCAAACAAACACATTATCTCCCTCTTGTCAATATTTTCGTCTCCGCTCATGCCATATTTACATATAAAAGAATTTCCGATACCCCAAGGAAATCCATGATTACATATTAATAGTTTTTCAGTGATATCCACAAGCTAAAAAGCGCAGTTGGTTTTTGAGCGGAAAACGTTACTAGTAAATTAAACCAAGCAACCAATTGAAGAAGTACGGAAAAGTACTTGAGGCGACATTCATTGGCGGTTTGATTTTATTGATTTTCACAGGGCTACAGAAGTTGTCGCTTATTTCACTTCTTTTGCATTTTCACATTTTACAGCGTTCCGTGGTCACGTTTTGTGAGTCAGTTGCGCGTGCGCAATTTCGCCAAACAAAAAACGCTTTGCGCATGGAAAAAGCGTAAAATGTTATGTTGCCATAATGTGGTTTTGTTCCCATTTGGCTGGGGAGCATGATGCCTTACTAACCGGTGGTCATTGCTGTTTTTACTTACACAAATATATGCATACATGCCTAAGTCATGTAGTAGAGTAGTCACCATTATAACAAATAAACGCAAGATTTTTTCAAATAATCATTATACCCTGAAGAGAATATATTAGCCGATTTAGCCATGTCCGTCTGTCTGTATATACGCAAACTAGTCCCTCAGTTTTGGAGATATCGTTCTAAAATTTTCTCAATTGTTCTTGTATAAAAAAATTTTTATTTGGCAAGATATCTGCACAAAACTACGCTGCAATCTTCGAAGAAATTGTTCAGATCGGACAACTATAGCATATAGCTGCCATACAAACTGATCGATCAAAATCAAGATTAAAATCGTTTTATACCTTTGAAGGGTTTTATAGCTACGGTGCAGCCGAAGTTAACATTTTTTCTTGTTTTAAGTCAATATTGTTGGAGGCAAATTGAGCAAGAAAGAAAAAGTGGCAGCCAAAGTTACTTTGATTTTGAGGATGTAAAAAATATATACAATATAAGTAAATAAGTGTGAATATAGTGACAGACATTGATAGCATATATTTTTTCAGATCTTTAGTTAAAAGTATATGTTATTTTATATTTTTGAGAAACATATTATTTTTTAATCTTTTCTATTCTTATTAGAATATGTGAATTGGACAGCACAGTACCATTGCATTTCAATTCTCAACTTATTTATTCTTGTCATAGCCACACGGGCTTAGTCAATCTAGCTAAAACCAAAGCTAATTTTTTCAACTTAATTTATTCAGGAATGCTTTAAATGCAAAAGCCCTATAATACAGTCTAACCTAACTCAACTTTCTTTATAATGTTATAACGGAGCTCGTCAGCTGTTCCTTACCAAATTTGGTTCAATCCAGCCGAGCTTAAGCTTCGTTTATACTAATCGAGCATATCGATATTTTTCGGAAAATTTTTTAATATCGAAGTCGAATATATTTACTAATATAACGCAACAACAACGCTGAGGAACGTTTATATGCTAGAACCAGTCTAAATGTATGCATATTCATTGAGTATGACCGTCGATATTTTCCCAACAAAGCAATTGCATTTATATTTGCCCAAAAATACCGTTTTTATTGCCTATAATTGATTTCATTCAAATCGAACAAGCGACTATCCTCCCCGGAAGTCTACGTGTACGCGGAGGCGATACTTCAACTTACTAATTTGACAAGACGTGTGTAGATGAAATGTCACTTCTAGGCATAAAATGCCACCACCAGCCGCTCAGCTGCCAAACAGCCCACCGTGAGATCAAGCCGGAACGGCGTGCAATCAAAGAGATTTTTCAGATTTCCGCACGCCCGCAGCAAGATTTTCCAACCAAATTACCATGCATAACAACACACATACATGTATAGTCAGTCAACGCAATAAACAAGCGCCGTAGTCAACAAGGCGCATACATTGTACCTATGTTCGGTATGAAAGTGTGTGAGCGCCTATAAACTCCCGCCAAACACAATGAAATATGCGCAGGCGCGCAGTCAAAACATTCCGCAAAGTGGTCGAGCGGTCAGCGCCAAGAGGCCGATACCATGCCACTTTTACTCTTATTGCAGCAAATTGCACAAAAACAACAAACAGTAACAATAGCGACGACAGCAACCGTTTAAATCGCTGTCAGAGGATCGCGGCATTACAAAATCTTCGCCGTGGAAAACTTGACAAGCCAAGCGATGATCAGTACGATGGTGTTGTTGTTGTTGTTGCTTTATACGTTTGTCTTTTTCCATTTTCGTTCGTTTAATATTCCGAAAAACACCAAAACGGGCGTGAAAATGTTGAAGCGCCACCAAGCGCCAAAAACAACAGCAACCAAAGCTCACACTTAGCGCGCAACATCAACAACACCAATCAGCAAGTCAACAGGCCGACAATAACGAATCACACTGTGCAACATGCTTAGCAACGTAGCTAAACAACAAGAACAACCACGCACAGACCACCGGTTCGTTTGGCCACGGCAGGAGCAGGGGCAGCTGCGAAGCAAAGCAAAACAATGGCAACATGCATCATCAATTCTGGTGGGCAACTATCGTCAAAAGGCATCGGTGGCAACAGTAATTGCCAGACTCGCACATTTTGTGCGAAGTGATTGATTTCCGCAACTAGTATGCACTATCCTCCTTGTGTAGACGTAACGTGAGCTGCGCCAGTGCGTCTGTCTGTCTGCTGTCTGCCTTCCACTGTTTACTGTCCGCTGGTGTCGTAGTTGTGCGTTAGACTTGTTGGTTAACGGTAGGTAGGCTGTTGCAACCCATGACGATGATCGTGATCTATGGGAAGCATTTAGATTTACATTGATCGCTTGTTGCATGCTCCATGATGTTGCATGTATCATGGCTATAAACACTAAAAAATTGTGTGCTATAGTCGCTTGTTGCTTACTATTCTGCAATTAAATATGTACATAGTGTAAGCATACTCATGTGTCAAACGGTGTTCTGAGGGTAACGAGCAAAGTGCTGGTAAATCGTACGAGTTTTTATAAAGATATAACAAATTATTTTTCTACATTAAGTTTAGTGGCTTAATCTGATTGTAGAAGCATAAAACATTCCAAAATAAAATCAGCTATCATCGGAAATGTATTCAAATAATAGGGATTGCTACTCATTATACTTATATGTTTATATATTATCCCTTTTTTATCCCTAGACATAATACACCCTTTAATCTATTGCCTTGATTTCTTTAATGTGTCAACTGAATAGTACATTGTCGCCTTACATCCGCTAACCTCTTTCATGCCTATATTTGAAACTCATCTCCTCATCGTAGGTGTTTTATGATCTTTCAACAACACCTTCCTACAATCGTATTTTTTTCAACTTAAGTACAAAAGAACATTACAACTCGGTTAACGTTTCGTTTGAGTTGTTTAACCTCACAGCTCGCACTGTTAAACTACTGTAGTAGGCTTTTCAACAAGAACTACAAAAACAGACATAACAGTAGAGTCCACGCAACCGAAACAGCACGAGATGTTCAAAAACGTTACCTCCTTTACTCAAGCAATATATTGTGGAACAATATGCATTCGCCTATTCAGCACTTTTTCTATTTTTTCATCCTAATGCATAAAGCAGCATAAAATAATGTGTAAGAAGAGACCTAATTACATTTCCAGGTCTAAGCTATCTGAGTCTGAACTTAAACGTACCTTAATGTGTAATGAACATTATGGCAACCACTGAATTTTTTCTTTTTTTTTTTGTGATGATCTTTCGTCGTATTAAAATAAGCGATGCTGTATTCATTGTAGCATGAGTCTGATCATCCCTTTCAGGTTTTCTGACTGATTGACTGACTGACCGACTGAATTGTTGAATTCCGCTTATTAGCTGCCAGGCATTGTCGTAGGTTGTTACTAGTTTAGATACATGAAATATTAAACCGTTAATGTATAGTGGAATGAAAATGGAAATTCTGTGTTAAATATATTCCGCAAAAATGTGTATATTAATGGAAACTTGGAGTTTTTACGTGTTTTAATAAAGAAATGATGTTTCATGAATATTTGTTACACCACAAGAATTATTGAAACTATTGTAGTTCTTTAGAAACGAGAGGTTGCTCAAAGAAGTCGAGTGAACCGACAAAACAGAACTATGAACATTCATATTATATTTACAAATATCCGTGTGCAAAAACGTATCACCACAATGATGAAACTGTTTAAAACAAAGGAACTTTCTATGCAGAAATGCACTAGTAGAGCTAACCTTTACGAAAAAATAGCATTGTCTGACGCAAATATTAATTTTTGAGTATTTGAGAGAAAGATTCTCTGTCAGATTTGTCACAATAAATAGAACACTCAAGTAATTTCTCCTACTATGAGACTGTATTTCTAAAATGAGTATCGAATATAAGTTCTAGAAGTATTTAAAAAAAAAAGTTAATATTATAATAATGACCCTTTAATATAAAATTACATTGGAATAATTCTTCGCCAAGAAACCTCTTTTCGGTAGAACTACTTACGAAAATGTGACATGTAATAAAAATTTAGATTCTAAGTCAGATGCATTCAACTGTGAAATCGTAGGAGCTGATATAAAAATATAGTTTTACCAGTGTATAGAAAATCTTAGCATTGTGCTACTCATCGTTACAGATCATGTCTATAATAAATATGAATACTAAAATTAGTCAAAAATACAACTGGTAATTGTTGTTTGATGAGATATCTGTTTCTAACTTAGTCAATTTGTAGAGCTCAAACCTTACCATGGTAGAAGTTATTGTTGATATTAATGAAGACTTTGTAGCTTTTGCATTGAAATTATGACCCATATATTCCTTTTCACAAATATATCCGTGGAATCTCTAGCAGTTCTTTTTGCTTAGTCTGAAGTTGGTTGACCTGTTTTCCAAAATATTTCGAAAGCATTATCTCGACTTGAAATTCTCGAAAATGTTGGAATTTATGCGATATATCAGCCGCGCAACTCACCACAATTTGTGCGCGACTCTGAGTGGTAATTATTGCGCGTGTACAAAGGATTTACGAAACGAAGACGCAAAGGTCAAAAGATCATAGATGTTTAGTTGTTAGGTGCTGGTATTATTAATGCCTACATGCAGTTGTTGTAATCGCCGCTGTCATTGTTCAAGTAAATGCATCACGAACAGCCATTTGTCCGATTATTTTTTTAAACAAACAGAGGCGCGTGAAATTATGCGCAGCACCACCATCCATACAACCATACAGCCATACAGCCAACATGCAACGTGCAGCATTCCTAACCATGTTGAGCGCCAGTTCAACAGTTCAACGGTTCAACGCTGCGCCACGCCACTACTGGGCAACCATCAGCACAGACGCAAGCAAGCTCCAGTCAACGAGCGAGTAAATAAAGCGTTTCTGTTATGTGGTTGGTGTTGGTTGGCAAGATGAACTGCTGCAAAAGCTGGCATTGTCCGTCCGTCAGGTAGTCGCATGCGCCATCAGTTCATTATCGCTAATAGGATTTGTGCGCTGTTGATGTTGGCCGCCGCGGCGGTTGTGTTTGCTGCTGTTGCTGTTGTTGATGATCACAGTTCAGCGGTGGCAACTGTTTTGGCATTTTATGCCGCAAAATGCTGCACGCTTCTTGAAATGCTTCTCTATTTTTTGCTTTTGTTTACTTTTTATTTGTCGTTGCTCATTGCCTTTCTTTCCCCTGGAACACCTCAGTGGAAAATGGCAATTTGTTAGTAGATTTGTTAAGTTAATAACTGCGCAATGCCCGAGCAGACAAATGGACGACGAATGGCTCGGCAGGCATGAATGGATCTTATAGTGGATTCAAGATGCCGCAAATTGTAATTTGCACAAAATTAATGATGTTACGTGTTTGATGCGTTGTTTTTATTTTTTTGAACTTTAGCAGCGTACGATCGTATCGTGCCAATTAATAAAAATCATGTAATTCAACTTTTACTTTCGTTGCATTTTACACGAGTATACTATTTGTTCGTTCTTTCTTTAACAGGTCAGAGATTTGGTCGAGAAGTGTACATGTCCATCTCAATTCCCAATGGTACGCGTGTCGGAGGGCAAATATCGCATTGGTGATACGAAGGTGTTAATCTTTGTGCGGGTAAGTAAATGATCGCAATAAATATCAAACAGAATTATGAAAAAATTTTAGATTAAAGACCACGATCGTTAGGTTTGGCACCAAAATAAATTTTACAATGAAATTTTGTGAAAAATATCACTTGAAACTCACCTATTGCGAAATTGGTATGGATCCCAAGTCCATCTCAAGTCCTGTTGAACGAGGCTAAAACTGTATAAAACAATTTGAATGCCAAACTGTTTGTTCCAAAACTGACTCTTACTTGCAACCAAATAGGGGCATAAGCCTCTGCAAACCACCAAAACGGGAAAATTCGGTGTTGCGTCAACGAAAAATACACCATTTTATTTATAACTAAAATACATTTTTTTATAATTTTATGCGCAACTAATTATACAATTAATGGTTTAGAAGCTTTTCGAGTTCTAAAAAAACTCTTGCGGAATTTTTCCTTCAATAAAACCTGAAATTTGTAACCGTATGAGTTGGATGCCCTCATAAAAATAACAACATATTCCTAGATGGAAAAATTCTGTATAACTACTTCACTTTAACCTATTTCGAGTTAATTATATTATTTATTTAATTATTTTATGTTTCATAAAGATCCTACGTTCTCACGTTATGGTACGTGTCGGCGGTGGTTGGGACACCCTGTCCCACTATTTGGATAAGCATGATCCTTGCCGTTGTAAAGCACAACATCGTTCATCAGTTGCAGCACGCTTGGTGCCACGCACCACCAATCCAAATAACGGAGGCATTGAATTGCACAAAGCACAAGTCATCTATGAGCGGTGAGTACACTGACGGAAATATTTATATGTGTAAAATGTGTGAACTTAAAAACATATACATATGTATGTATGCATGTATGTTGGTATACGATTTATTTATTGAATAAAGTCCACTTAGTTTTCTTAAGGTATGTACATATGTATATAAGTGCTAGATGTGTAATAATATGCCACCCCTTCCATGTGCCGACACTACTACAATAAACACTCTGAGTTCTGTGATTACTTGTAATTTATATTGATTAGTGGCTTATTTGCAAATTGAAATACGAGTATGTATTGTACATACACACATATATCTTGCTAACATTAAAATGCCATTTTTATTAATTAATGCAAATGCACTACGGAATTTATTCTTCAAAGTATTACGCTTGCGGATTGAATTCACTTTGTCTATGCATACATATTCTCATACACTGGCGGGCGCAGAAAAAGCAGTGGCTTAAATTTTACATAAATTAATATATGAAATTTTGTACTGAAAATAACAGTAATTAATTTTTTGTATGGTAGTTTTACACTAATATAAGCTTATAGCTAACATTGTGTAATCGAAAGTCGCGATATACCCACCAATTCCTTCACGAATTTTTTGCTTTCTGCTCAGTTCAGGTTTCTGTCAGTTGTCAGTAATGTAGTGTAAACTCATAGAATACGGCACTACAAAGCTACGACGATATTTTATAAATTGCCGCCGTATATACTCACATGTAAAGTAATAGATTTATGTTGGCGACACCAGCTAATTGCAATTCCTTCGCCATACACTAGACTAAGTAATTATATCTATAAAATTGTCTGGATATTAAATTTGACAGTTGTCGCTATCGCATACATATTTCTTGCACGATAGTTATAAGACTTTCGAATTAACTCAGCTTTTGTGTTGACAGCCACATTGTTAATGTATGTAAGTTTGTTCGTCTATAAAATTTTTTATTGTTAAAAACGCATAAATTCTATATGTAATAATCGTAATTTGCATTGACAACTGCTCGATTGCGCTGGAATGTGTCAAGTTGATTATTGCTCTGATGAGGTAGGCGCGTAACACTCCTGTCAACAACAAATGTCATAATTTTCAATTCTATAACAATAACAATGTTGACAATAATAATCGTGGTATAACAGTAATATGTACACTAAAAGTAATAATAAGAGTAATTATACCCTGGATATGGTATATTTTAGTTTAAAACCCCAGAAGAAAGGGCATATATATAAATGTCGATTGAATGTCGAATTCGAAGTCATCGAAGGTTGTACATATTTCCTATATTCCCAAAGCGGTGAACTACAAAAGAATATAACAGTCAGTCAGCTCGGCTTAAGGCTTTGTAACAATTAAATATTCTCGATTGCATGCTAGTCAATGAATCAACGTGTTAATATTTATTGAAGTATGCAGCTTGCATAATTTCACAGTTATTCAGATGGATAGAAGGAATTATAAGACAGCGGCAATGAAACATTGCAAAATCCTATAACACAGATAATAAATTATTGAAGACCTAATGATATAACATATGTTTTTATATTTAAAGCGCTTTTCATCAAAAATATGCAACAGACGATATTTACATTATTTTGTTATTTCCTGGTTATTAGCACTTGGTGTATAACCCTGGTTATATGTAACCAATTATGAATTTTTCAAAACATAGCATTTTACTATAGAGTACCAATTACTAATACAACTGACTTTCTCCAATAAAGGTATATTCTGTATATATTCTATTCAATATATTCTGTTTTGCATTTACCAGCTCACCGCCGTCTACTCGTAAAATTATTTCCAACTTCAACAATCAGGCTGCCGGTAATGCATCCGCAACATCATCTCCTATTTCCAACAACAACTCATACAATTTGTCACCCAATTTCGGCAATAATAATAAGCAAACCAGTCGTAGTCCCACGCCTCAGCGTAAGTTTCTCAATCATCACAATACTGCGAATGCAACAGATGGCGCCGTTGGAGAAAAACTACTAACAGCAAACTGCACAAATGGTACTTCAACATTGTTACCTTCACCAAATTTAGCACGTCGTTCCATGTCGCCCAGCCCACGTCGTCTTATTGATATGCGTAAGAAGCAGAACTCGTTGGATTCGAATAACGGTAGTGGTCCCAAATCCTTGCCAATTTGCAGTGAAACCGTGGGTAACCATATACAATTTGATGGACTCAACTATACAGCTGGACAGGCTGAGAATGGCACTACGCAAGTGGGAGCTACCAACTCAGATGCCAGCACAAATGGCACAAACAACAAATTCGAAAATATCAGTGACAATGGCAGTGAAATCAGCGATGAGGGCTATCGTAGTCTGGGTGTGATACAATCAAATGCCCAAAAGCGAGAATCACTGCACAGTCAGGCTTCGGTGGAAGACGCTGAAAGTAATGGTAAGTTGAACCCAACTCATAAATATTACATGCGCTTAACTTGAGTCTAATATTCGTTATTATCTTTATTTCAGCGCGTCTTGATCAGACCTCCAGTGATTCACAACTCTCACCAGTCGATGATTTGACCATATCTAACAAGGCAGCCGATATACTTGGCTCAGATTTTAACAACACACCTATAGAGCTGAATATTGATGCTGGACCGCAGTCACTACCAGCTGTGCTCACTACTCCGACACAAAATTTTACGCAAATGAATTTGGCAGATAATTTCGAGCGATCCGGAATCTTTATAACCGACGATGAAATCACCGTTGATGTGGCAAATGCCACTGGTTTGCGCAAAACTGGGTTTGCCAACAAAATTTTCGGCGGCGAGGATGTTACCGATAACAGTGTCGCAACGAGTAAGGATCAAAAAGATAATGTAGGTAAAAGTAGTAAAATACCACGCTCGCCAGTAGCGCCTCGGCGACGTAGCTTGGATAACAGCAATTGCAGCAGCGCCAGCATGCAGGACATTTCCACGCGTACTGGCCTGCCGGTATTCAACCGCAAGCAGCCTGTTTACCGTTCGGTACGTCGTCCGATCAACGAGATCAATAGAAATAGTGACAATGTATCCGCCGCAGCTGCGACGCGAAAATCAACAACGCCACCCGTGCGTGAGGTCACAAACACTTGGAGTGGACGCGGCGGCGTAGGCGGCAAAAAACGTCCAACACTCAATGCTGACACATTCAACGCCCACAACGGTGCCACAACACCCAGCACCGGCAATGCCTTCGATCGCAACACACGCACACGCTCTTCTCAGATACTTTACGACAGCAATGGACGTCGCGTACGCGGTTGCACCGCCTCACTTACCACTTCGCCGGTAAAGAACTACAATACATCACCATTGGCGCAACAACTACTCGAAGCGGCCAGCAGCGCCAAAAATGATGCACAAATTTTAGAAAAAATGAAAGTATTACTCTCACGCTATTCCACCAACAGCAATGCGCCAAATGGCAGCGTCACAAATACCAGAGCACCAGCTGGCGGCAACAGTAACAATAAGAAGCCCGTCTACGAAGACTTCACATCTGCCTGGGTGCACAGCAATGGTAATCTGGAGCGTTCCAACAGTTGTTCGCCACCCACGAAAAGTCTCTCGAAACGCAGCTCGGCCGCCTCCTCTACAGAGAGTACACAATCGCGCGACGTAGCCTCGGTCATTGTTTCGCCGCGCCGTGAACGCGGTTTATCCAAAATTCCAGCACCGACACGACAACACACCGAACTTTACTAACACACGATGCAAATGCCCGCCAGGCTGCGCATACAGCAGAGGGCAATAATGTTGCAGCAACGAAAAAGACAAGTGTAAGAAGTGTTTGGAGTAGTGCTGGTAGAGGTGGTGCCAAAACAGTAGGCGCCCAATACATCCAAGCATTTTCCCCCTTAAAGTTATAAATGTATGTCTGTAGGTAGTTATCTAAGCTGTAGCGTGAAATTTTAAAATGGAAAGTAATAATTTTTCGGTTATGGCTACCGAAAAACAAATTTAGCTATAATTTTTATACGAATCTAATTTTTATATGACATTAATTTTATTACTGGTAAGTAGGAAGTGTTGGCGAAAAGTGTGAACAATTTCGATTTTTATTTTTGAGTCTTTTTACTCAAAGCCCTTCTTACATCGGACAGTAGAAGTAACTGGAATTTTTATATGATTTCCGTTTTTCTTTGCGTAGATAAAACACTTAGCGTACTCCTATGTTTTACTAGCAATGTGTACGCACCGGCGTGTACTTATTTCCGAAGGTCTTGAGAAAAATCGTTTCTAACGATTTAATCAAAAGCAGATAATGGCAAAGTTTTATAAAAGTTAATGGAATTATGTGTTTGTTAAAGCGTTTCGACTAATTCTACATACCATATATTCTTGTATGTATACAACTAGTATATTATATAAAAAATATAACTGTCACAAATGCCTAAAATATAAATATATATGTATGTATACCAAAAATTTCCAAACGCATGTTCTAAGCAGTATTTTCTTTAACTTTACCAGTCACAATTAGAATAAACCAACGGGATCTGCCACAGTATAATTAATAGTTTTCCAGGAACTTAGAACTAACAGCTTGAAACTAACAATTAACAGCAATAATATGTAATAATAAAAAGGAAAATATTGGTAAAATGTTCTATACGGATTTCACAACAAATTCTAGGAGCAAAAACAGAGGCTGGCAAATTATTTTATATTATAATTTACTTTCTACAATACTAGAAGAATATAATAGAGAATTATATATGTACATATATATGTTTTTTTAATTATTTAATTTTTTTTTTAATTTAAATATTTCTTAAATTTTTAATTTTGATGATTAATTTTCTTAGTCTCCCTTATTCGAATAAGAAATATGATGTTTGTTGTGAATTCCCTAAAAGTGAGGGCGTAGAACATAATGTCGCCTACTTTAAACCGAAAAAATACTCGCCAATGCATACAGCGGCATATAACAAAAATATATCACAAATAAGAACTTTTTCTCACCGCAAATGAGATTACTAAAATAAAATATTATAAAAAAATATAAAAATATAATAATAACTGCATACAACATCGCTCATCCATTAAAATTCTAAATCATATTAAACACCAATTACTTATACTTAATAACAAAAAATAAAAATAACATAAGAAAATCCAAAATGTGTAACGTAACGTAAAGAAAACAATCCGGATCATGGTAACCTCAAAATTTACACAGCTTTTTTAAATTGTAGTCACATAATCCAATTTACATAAATACAGCATAGTGAATGCAATTTTAAAGCCAGTAGTGGGCATACATACATATATAAATGAATAGATTTTAAATAAAATAAAGAAATAGTTTTCTAGAAGTTTTTACAACCAAATATAGAGAAGGAAAAAAGCAATTAATACATGAATAATAAGTAATGGTAAATATTTTTGTAAATTCACACAGACACATGCGCAATTGAGAATCAAGGAATATGAACATACATATATACACAAGAGAATGTGTAGGTATGCGTACAGGTTTGCTGATTAAGTGAAGTTGCTGAAAAAGTTAATAATTTTTACTTTGCCACAAAGTAACAATTAATGATTTATTGTAAATATCCTCAGCGAAATAAATGTAAAAAACACAACATTAAGTAAATACGTCAAATAGCGACATATAATCCACATATTTGTGTATTTGATGGAGTAATAGGAATAATTTTTATTTTTTTGTTTAATACGCATTTAAATAGACTTAGTTGCGTTATATTATATACTCATTTATACGAAGAATTCGATTTTTGTCAACAAAAATTTTCACTTAAAAGCCTATAACATCTAAAAATATTCATTACCACTTTACTTTTGCTAATTATTTCTTCCCTTAAAAAAAAAAAAATATTTTAATAGTGAAAATACATACTTGCCTCTTAACACAATTTTAGTAAAAGTTATTGCAAATTCAATTTTTAGCACAGAAGATCGGGCTTATTCTAAAGCATATGCCTAAAAAGACGCCAAAAAGAAGTAACCCATAGTATATACTACACAAATATAATATAAAGTTAATCATATGTAACATAAAAAATATGTTTTTGTACTTTTTTCTATACACGTACATATACATACATAATGTGTGACAACACGAAAATCCAATACATAATCACATTTATTGCAAGCGATGTAAATTGGTGCTTTGTGCCGCGGACTTTTATCCAAAGGCATATCAACTATTTTATTGTACTAAATAAAATAAAATATAATTTATAAATTCATAAGTTAACAAGAATCTAACTATGTATCTATACTATGCAGTTAATATTAAAATTTAAAAAAAAATCTTTGTCAAATCCCAAACATATAACCTTTCAGTAGCTGTAACTAAATACGAGGACATACCTGTAACTCTAGCTGGTCTACTCTATTGCGCCCACTAAAGTACACTATATGTAAATGCTTAGTAATCTTTTTCACAAAACCGTTATTATTATTTTTTTTTTTTTTTGATAAACGCGAAGAATATTTTTGTTTGCTATCGAAAAATATAATATATTACTAAAAATTTTTTCTTTGTATTCGAGTGCAGATATGCTAAGTCGACGTTTTAAATATTTATAGCAAATATAAAAATACCTAACAAAACTCTCACTGCAAACATACAAGCTATGGGCAACACTGTAAAACTATAGTAAAAAATGGATTGTATATAATTTATAACGAAATATTTTTATTAAAGCGTTATTAATACATTTTTTTCAAATCCATAGATTCGTAAGTATACATACAACTCTTTATGTATGCTTATTTAATTGTTAAAAAAAACTAAGCTTAAAGAAAAATGGAATTAAAAATTCAATTTATACATAAGAACACTTTGGCTTATGTATACGTGCAAAAATATGTATGCACCATGGTCATTATTTAAATTTTTTATTATTACATACGAATCTTTTCATGTTAATTAACTTTGTTTAGCATTACATAATAAGTGTAAAATTATAAAACTCCGTTATTACTTTCAATGTGTGTGTATATCAAAATCATATGAACTAATGTATTTTAAATGCATCTAAAATTTATTAATTGAACATGCTGCATACCAGCCTGAGTATATGTAGGTGTGTATGCATGCAGGTGTTTGCAATTGTTTCAATTCGTTGAAATTGAAATTTTAATTGTATATAAGTTTAAGCAAATTACACTGGTTGATACATTATAACAGTAAAAATAAACATAAATAAATAAAAAAAATTAAATGAAAAATAAAAAATCGTTTTTATTATAGAAAAGTGTAATTTATACCCTGTACAGGATATATTAAATTTGCTACGAAGTTTGTAACACCCAGAAGGAAACGCCGAAGATCCTATAAAGTATTTAAGCATACCATAAAAGATCAGCGCGATAATTATGTGAATGTGCGATGTGAGAATTAGTCCCACATTTTAGGGAGATATATTCTCCCCAAGAAGCTGCTCATTTGTCGGAACCACCGATTTCAGACCATTATAGCGCCACTTGGAAATAGTTTATTATCGAAGACAATGCTACACTCTCCAAACATTTTGTTCAGATCGGACAACTATAGCATATAGCTGCCATACAACCTGACCCATCAAAATCAAGATAAACATTTTTTTATACCCTTTTATGCTATAAAAAATTCATGTGTGACGGATATTATAGCTACAAGAAAAAAGTGGTATAACCGTTAGCTTCAATGCTACCAAGTTTTGTTTTACTTATTTTAGACCAGTTTAACCATTGTGAATAACTGTCAAAAATGAAAATACACACTATTTCATTTTAGACTTTAACAATTGATTACTAAAACTTTTTTTTGGCGTGGGAAGAAGCTCTCGACCAAATAAAGAAAACACAATTGTAAATTCTTCAAAGGACAAATTAGCAACTGGCATAATTTGTTGTGAATTGAAGGTTGGTAATGAATGCAACTCTGCGTGAATTAATGGATGAGGTCGATACTTTTTCAATTACCTAAAAACAACTTTTAGGACTACCCTCTTATAGATTGATATACTTACTTATAGAATTTAAACTTTCTTATAAAAGACATACAGAAAAAATCAGTCAGCTACAATTTTAATAATTTGATCATTTTATACTTTAATACCCTGAAGCCACCTCAAGAAAGTTTTTATGAGTTTCTTTGGGCCCAATAGGCAATTCTAACCAAAACTCTTGTGTACGTGTAATCGTCCATCCCTTTCTTTCTCAAAGACCTTATGAGTTGCACGTTGTGCATGTGTTGGTTTATGCTTCCAATGTTTGGAGTTTCGGAAGCAGCGACATGCTGGGTATCCAAATACTTTTAGAATTACCCTGATATAGATATACTTACTTATAGAGTTTAAACTTTCTTACTGAAAACTTACAAATTATAACATTTTTATTTGTACGCAATTTTTCTAGGGAGTATAACATTGCGGGTTATCACAACTTCAATTTTATTGCTTACATTACTTCATACTTCAATATTTATCTATTGATGTCAAGTCAGTCGAGCAAAGTAATATTTTCAGTGCATTTTTTTTAAATCATCTGTATATATTTATCGATAGATAATCGATATTTGTTATACTATTAAAAATAACGTAAACTTGTCAACACTATATTCAGTAATGCAACGTAAACAACAACAACTTCAAGTAACGTGTCGTCTCTTTCCTACTTTACGTCAATCGAAAGGCAAAAGTTGCAACACTATATAAATTGTCAGTGTCCAGAAAGTAAGGACAAATGTGTGTGCGTGGTTGTAATGTTCAATTATCAAAATGTCTGACTTAAATTTGAAGTAAGTGAATTTTCAGTGAATTATTTTGTAAATATTTACTATAAATCTAAATATTTTACATATATTTAATGCAAAATCAATAATTGAAATAATAAATTGTGTATTGAAAATGAAATATATTGTGATACTTGTAGTAAACACTCGAAAATATGCTTTGAAATCTATTCGTTGTTGGGGGGTTGATTTTCGCCACATTGAAATTGCAGCTGTTAAAATTTTCACTAAAAAATGTATTTTGTAATTATTATAGCGATGATTTATTGAACTATGAATTGGGTGATGATATTGATGATCAAGCACTTTATGGCGCCGATGAAGATGAACTACTATTGTCAGACGATGGTAAATAAATTTATTTTTTTTACATTTACATATTTATGTACATTAAATAAATATTGAATTTTTAATTTCATCACTGAAGAATTAGAAAAAGATGTAACAAAAGAAGTTAAACAACAAATAAAGGCAGAGGCAGAACAATGGGTTAATGAACGTATACAAGAAAAAGGAGAAAATCAAAATGGATCTAACAACGCTAGTACAGCTCAGACTATGTCTGCTGTTGGAACAGCTAATACTGCAAAATCTGTCAAGAACACAGTCAAACAAGTCACCGCAGATGCAACAGAAGTGACTTCAACGGCAGCAACACATTTGGTTGCGAATAATTCAAAACATGGTGATATTACAGACGATGTATCCACAAGTGAGAATTCAGCACCTGCACATGCGGAATTTAAAGAACCCACAAGGTCTCAACCCCAAAGGGAATTAACACAGACGGTAGCGCCAGCGTCTACACAGACTGCATTGTCAAACACTACAAATATCGACGAAGTGACTTCAAGCAGTAGTAAAGAAGTTGAAGTAGATCATTCATCAGTCATTAGTTGCAGCACCAGTAATATGACTGATTCCTCCTTCATTCAAAGCTCACAAGAAAGTTTGGGAGTGACCCCTCTAAGCGCCAGTGATTATTCCGATCCTAGAGAGGATATGGAAGAAGAACGTGAGACACGTACAAATATAAAAACAACAAATGAACGTGATTTTGATGCAGGAGTCAATGAATCGACAGGTAAATACCAAGCAATAATTATACAATATATTTACTTATTTATAAACTATATAATCAAAATATTTGCTTTCTACTTTTAGAAAAACATCATTCCCGCTTCATGCATAATAAACGTGGAGGAAATCCACTGCTGCGGCCCCATTCACTACGTGGCTCTTACCACGGTCAGAGGCCACTCCTCCGCTATCCACCATCACACGGTAATTTTCTATTGACAACGCACGGGCTCCCCGCGGCGAGAACAACAATCGTTTCAACAACGCTAACCCACACATCCTCCGCCCTCATTCCAGGTCAATTCCCGCTACAACAACCGCCCCTACCTTATGCACCACACAACACAGCACACGGTCCGCCATCTACAAATCCCGGAACAATGGGACCACAACCAACAAACCCAAATGCACAAATTCCTCTCCACCCACACGATCCCATGAATCCTTCAATTTCCCATCGTCCACGACACCCATTCCCCGGATTTCGCCCAAGTGGGCCTATGAATTTTAGGCATCCTAATCCAGTCAATATGTATCCACATGATTATAATACTGGTAATGGGGTACCTTTCAATCAGAACTTCGGTCCTATGTCACATCCATCACGAGCTATGTTCCGACCTGAACTCGTTGGCGGACCAATGCAAGGTGGCAACAATACAGGTATAGGCCCAACACCTGGACCTATGGTAATGCGTCCGAACATGCGTTTGCCGCGCCCATTATTATCAAATTTACCGCCACAAGGCTTAGGGCCAAACTTTATAAACAACCCGGCCATTAGACCTCCCCAACAACTACCATTGCAGCCTCCTCAAGCTCCTCTACAGCTACCACATCCGAGTACCAGTGTGCAGGCGTCACAAGTTTCTGCCAATAACAATTGTGGTCCAGCAACATCGTCAACATTACGCCCTAGCAAAGTACTTATTAATCCAAATTTTAAGGGTGGCGTTCAAGCAGCAACAAATAAGTTTATAAAAGAAACTCAATTTATGTCAACAATTAGCAGTCATGTCTCACACTTACAAAGTGACGATGAGTTACTGCGTCAACAGGAGGAATTCATTAATAAAAACAGAGAGCATATCGAGAAACGAAGGCATGAGCGTTCACCGCTCACTGGCAGACGAAGCCGCAGTCGTAGCCGTTCTCGAACACATTCACGTGAACGCAGCTTTACTCCACCAAATAAGAGAAGCGGTGGTGGAGGCACCGGCGGGACCGGTTCACACTTTGACAGAGAACGTGAACGCGATCGAGAGAGAGAACGTGATCGTGACCGTGAGCGAGATCGTTTAGATCGCGAAAGAGATCGCGACCGTGAAAGGGAACGCGGTCCAGTTGATCGCGAACGTGGTGGTGTAGGAGGCGGTAATGGTAACATGGGCCCAAGAGGAAATCGTTTTCGTCGTGGAAATAGTCGAGACCGTGATTATGATAAAAGAGGTGGTGGAGCATATGTTAAACGCAGACGCAGTTTATCTCCTTTACCACGAGCGGGCGGAAGTTTTCGACGTGGAGGTGATCGCGATCGCCCAGATGTACGGTTTATATCAAATGTACAAGTACTTGTATGATAGCTAATTAAAATTTAATCCATAGGTTGAAGAGGACGAAGAGACACGTGTATATAGGCTGGAAATAGAGAAGCAGAAAGCATTGCGGGAAAAAATACTCAAGGACAAGGAATTGAAAAGAAGACGCGCCGCAGAGGAAAAACAATATGAGGTGAGTTTTACAATGCATTATTATTCTATTTATCGCAAATTGGCGGTGAACTCTCGGCTTGAAAAATGGATATTCGAACTTGGAGCATAAGACATCATATATCCTTTAATTTAGGGTTTCGTTCTTAAAAACAAAATTGTTTTCTTTGTTATCGAACATTTAATCAAAGTTTTCGAGTTTTTTTTTTTGTTCAAATATAATTAAGAATTTCCGGTAAACTGTATACATACATATGTATTCTACCATATATTTATAATTAAATTTTCGAATCTTTCATACTTCTAAAGTAGCTTTCATTACCGATATTTTTAAAAGTTTTTTAATACACAATTAAAACTGTTTCAATACGATAAAAAACGTAAATATGTTTCTAAACCCTAACCTTATAGGATCAGCGTCCTAATCAGACCAATAATGCTAGTAACAATAACGGTAGCAATGCCCCTAGCAGTGCCAGTGAAAATCAGACGCAGAAACTTAAACCAATTGTAGTAACAGAACGCAAAATAATATCGTTAAAGAAACGGCAACAGCAGCCGCAATATTCTGATGACGATTTTCCACGTCAGAAGTCGCAACAACCGCCTCATGCGCAAAATCAGCGCAAACAAATTCCGACTGCAAAAATTTTGCCAGAAGCAAAGCGGAACCTTAACGATCATATAACAAATGTCACAAGCAGCAGTGGTGGTGTTAATTGTGGCAGCAGCAATACAGCCATAATAAAACCAGTACCTAAAAAGGAAACCCATACACCAACACCACCACCGGCGGCATTATTGAAACAAACACGACGTCTGTCCTCGCCGAGTGATGATGAAGTGGAGCTCGACTACGATGAAGATGAATTAATGCTAGAAATGGAGGATCGCCTGTTGGCCACGCCAACACCGTCCCCACCACAACCAGCCGTCTCACGTACACCAACACCTGAACCAATAGCTCCACCACCATCTAGTAAGGCAAACATAAAATCTAGTCGTAGCAGTAACAATACGACATCTCAAAGATCATCTGCATCGTCAGCACCATTCGGTTCAAGCAACCGACGAGTGGTACTAAAATCGTCTACATCAAGTAATTCAGGAGGTGGTGGCCGTAAGGAAAGCGATTTGCACTCATCTGATGGCAGTCGCAATCGCCGCACTGGTGGGGGATCGTCACGCAGCAGTAGCAGTAATAATTCACGGAAAGGTATATTTGATCGCTTGGAGACCAGGCGACAAATGTATGACAGCGGTGGAAGCAACAGAGACGGTGGTGGAAACGATGGAAAGCGCAACAAAGGGCAACGCATTGTTTTGAAACATGATTAAGTATTCGGATATTTAGAAAAACCGATTTCTGAATCAAATCTCTTTTGTCAAACATTTCTATAACTGTGTAGCAAATTAAAACTACACAAACAAATCGTAGAAATATTTTGAAATCGCATATTTCTCTAAAAAAAAATATGCATATTTCGCTAACTTTAAATTTGACATTGGTGTGAGTGAAATAATTAAAATATAAGTGGCACGAAAGTCTTCGTTCTGTATTGAAAGTGAAAAGATAATTTATAATTAGACCACACATAACATAGCAGTACTTGTTTATATCATTTAACAACATATATTTACGATGATTTCCACACGCACATGTATGAAACGAATAACTGCAATGGGGCGCGTATATTTATGTAAACATTATTTTCACTTTATATTTCTAATATGTTTTTTTTTTTCAAATAATGCATATGGTAGAACGAAGTAAGAAGCGAGAATTGCTTAAGTCGTTATCATTTTTGCTTTTCTCTGCCGCTTAGTTTGGTATAATATTTGTAAGAACACATGCAAATTTATAGATTTGTTGTAACTTCTAAAAAGCATCCACATTTATATACAAGTATGTGCAATTCTCAAATTGTCTTCACCGTAAGCTATATCATATAACATATTAATATTAAAAATTATTAGATTTCAAACAGGCAGTGCCACCTCATATCTCTCCATATATGGCTTAAATGGTATTCGCATTTTTTTTAACTTGATGTAATGTAGTTGTAGTTACCGCCGCTAAAAAAATGCAAGCTTCCTATATCATTGACCTTACTATTTTCAAATTCTGTATAAATCAGCTATTTAATGTCAAATTATTTAGGAAATGTAATTTTCAACTTATGTTATTGAAAGTCATCAGCAACATTGTTAGCTTTAATATGACACTGGCAAAAGTTCAATAGCACTTTGTGCGGTGCTCGATAATCATCCCTACTAGCATTAAAATTGTATATGACAATTGAAGTTATGACTTACAATTTAAGTAAGCAGTCATTTCACTTTTAAATGACTATTTGCGATTTAATATTGACGTAAACGTTTAAAGTATTTCAAATTTTATTTCACAAAACAATGAAAAATGGCTCCAGTTAAATGTGTATACTAACGAAAGGCGTGAAATTTTTCTAATTATGAAAAAGCAGTGTTCCCTTTACACTTTGATCCAAACAAGCTTTAAATTTGCCATTTTAATTTTAAAAATTCAACATACATATGTATATACTACTTATGCTTTCATACTTCCATTAACATACATACATGCTCAAAATCATAATGCAGCTCAACATTATTCTTGCATATTTTTCACCAACAAATAAACAAAATTTTAGTTAAATGTTAATTAGTAAAAAAAAAAAAATAACTGAATAACGGTAAAACTTTTACTTGACTTTCAAAAATTCACATTTTTACGCCTGGATTTATTAAAAGCACTTAGACTATAAGTTCATATATAATTTTTAGTTCGTATATTTAAGTATATACAAAGTTCAACACAAATTTTAATTATAATTTTTAATTTAGCGTGTAAGTTATAAAAGAGCAACAGGCTTTAAAATTTTTCTTTAAATATTTCTTGAATGCCGTACATTAAAGTGTATACAAAATTATCATATTGATATTCTAGACCGCAGCGGAAAACTTTCATCCAAGGTATTAAAATACCAATAACACTTTTAAGTAAATAAAATGACGATTTACCCTCAACTATTACCAAAATTGTATTTTTGTACACAATAACTTAATTAATTGTAGTTGCTTGATTATAATTGGTTTGAAAAAAATTTAAAATATTTTGTTCAATGTGCAAAAATGTTTATTAAAAAAGGTAAACAAATGTATTTGCCACAATAAATGATGACACAAACAGTAACAAATGTAAAAATTCAGTAGTATTTACTATTGCTATATCACAATATAGCATTATAATAATAAGAACAACCATATTCAAATATAATTATAGAAATGAAAGTGTGAGCAATAAAAAATTAAGTATGACTGAACGAAGTTAGTGGCCAGTTATATAATGCTAATATGATCAACAAATTTTGGGCTTCTCACTAACCCATACCTTAAATTCGTAACAAACAAAATTTATATGTCCTTACCACTAGGTCGTAAAACGTCTAAATCTGCTGTAAATCATAGTTGTAAGTTAAAAATTAATATTTTATTTTAATTTTTCATTGTATTACTTGTAATATTTGTAACATTGTATACGCAACATTATTGATTGTTAAAAAAAAAATGTACACGCCCCTCTCACTTTCTAACAGTTTTTCTGCAAATACTTCCAATAGTATGCGCATAAAAATATTAAAATGAATTCAAATATGTTAATATTTTAAGCTAACAAAGGATATGCTATTTGTCTTTTACAAGCGCTTAAGCGAACAGAAAACATATAATAAATTAAAACTCGGCCAACACTTTGTTACGGCATTTTATATTGCACTTTGTTGTGCAATTGCTGCGCAAACAAGTCGCTAACAAAACAAAAAAAATAAATAAAACAAGTATGAAGCTTATAAAAAAAACACTTAAAATCAAAAGCAAGAAAGAATTAGGAAGCACACATTACGTAGTTATAATTGCGAAAACACATTATAAAAATATAACTAACTGTTAACAGTTGCTTAAATGTGCGCAGACACAATATTTATTTCAGTTGGTTTAATTAAGGCAAAAAGAAAATAAAACATACATATATACATGTTAAAGGCACGTGCTATGTATGGTATGTTTAAAACTCAAACTATATGCATAAAAATATATACGATATTTCATTGTTATTTGATGAGTTTATCCCAAAACAAAAAAAATCAAATATCCGCTCTTATTTTAAAAGATACTTGTATATTAAATTACTAAAAATATAAAAATTTAAGCAAATGCAAAATTATTCGAAAACTATTGCAGTTACTACTAACAAATATATAACATTAATGTACTCTATAGAATTAAATATAAACTTATATCAAAGAATAAAATAAATTATGTTTGCTATAGCTGATAAAAAAAAAAAAACTGAATTATAGCTACCACCATAACTAATTTATAAATAATCATTACAATTGTTATTACTCAAAATAATTATTTTTACATGTAAAATTCATATTCCATGTTGGTACTGCCAACGACTCTACAAAATTTATAGTACAAAGCAAACAAGTGATATTTGGTGCCTACTATGTAGACTCCTTACTATGTGATATTTTCTACACTGTTAGATTTTATTTATTTATTTGTCAGTTCTTTATTTATTTCTGTATTTGTAATGAACGTATTCAATTTGGTAATTTAAAAACATCGCAAAACGAACTCAAGTATTCAAATGGGAACGCAGACAGCTATAAAAGGCGTCGTCGTTGGAGAATCCGTACTAACATTTCGCTTCAACCAAGTAAACTGTGGGGATTTGGAAGTTCAGCATTTCATTCTGCCTAAATGGAGTTTTAACAGCTTAACACCCATATGCGTATATAATCATATGTGCGTATAAAAAAGGTGCATCTCATTACAAGAACAAAAGTTGCACGATGGATACTGTGACAAGAATGCACTCATTAGAAGCACTTTACTGGCTGAATTACAAACATACTTATCTCTAGTATATATAGAAAGCCTTTGATTTATTACTCTAATTTCTGCCAATACTCAAAACATGAAATAATAATTCTTGTAAGTTCATTTATTTAAACTACTGTAAATTTTAGAACATTAACAATTTATTATTTATTTGTTATTCCATCCTTAGAGAATGAGCATTGTTATTCTATTGAATTTCGCCTTTTCGTTTTGATAATAATCTCTTAATTATTGCATAAAATGTGAATATTCAATTAGTTACTAGATTTCTTTTGAGTTTCAACAATTTAAATATGTTTGATAATTTTATGTTAAAATGTTATTTTTCCTATTGCGAAATTATTTTTTGCTTAAAAAATGTTTTCTTCCAGCCATTCTCTATACCCCTATGAACATTGTTCGTGACTGAAAACCAAGAAAAAACGGATTAATCAATAAAGACACCAGTTTTTACTTTTTTACAGCATTTAAATAAAAATTTGTGTTTCATTGTTCAGTGCACGGAACTGGAATCGAATTCAACTGTCGCTCTATAATACAGAAATAAAAATTATTTAGGAGATTTTTTTCTTATTCCTGAAAAGTATTTTAAATTTTTCGTAAATATCTTATTACGCTAATTTTTCTATAAATAAGTCAAAATGTCAATCATAAAAATGTATAATTGTTACTATTGTTGAGGTGAACAAAAGTTGAGTCTCTGTCAGTTATATAGACCCGACTGCTTTGGACATGTGTACTCAATTATTTGCTGTTCTATCGCTTTTGATTGTAACTGCGTTGTTTGAGCGGTATTAGAATCAGAGTAGTTAGGTTTAATAAATGCTAGCATTTAGCTAGTGGTTTGGTACCAGTTAAAATTTCAATGAGTTTCAAGGCCCGTGTCAAGGTACGTGTAATCCTTCATCCTTTTTTTTACGCAAAGTCCTTATGAGTAGTGTGTCCGCGCCAATTATTTTAAAGTATTGGAGTTTCAGAAGCCGTGACTTTGTGGATACATTGTCCATCTCGCTTTAATACAAAGGAACAGATTATTCAATGCCTTGCGCAATTTTTCTCGACTATGAATATATTATCGATCAGAGTATAATGATTATCATTGTTTATATTTTATGAATCCCCGCCCAATGTGGTATCATCTCATCATTTTAGATTTGTAGAAAGGCCATCTAATTTCGTCGACTTATACGATGTAAATACTCTATCAACTTTGTTTAAAAAGTTATGTGGCAACACTTAAATATTCAAGATTGGAATAAAAAACGTGGAGTATTGTTTTGGTTTTTTTTTAGAATATAATATTTTATTTAAATAAAACGCGAAATGGTGAGCCATAAGAAGAAATTACGGTCTGAGAAGGCAAAAGTAAAACTAAAGGCAACTAAATTGCCTAAAGGTCTAAATGTCACAAAAACGGAATTCAAGGTCCGTAAAATTACGATAAGGGAACAGTTGAAGGAGTCACAATTCGCGGACGGAGAACGTCAACTGAACTTAAAGGAAACTATTTCACGTTTAAAACACCACAGCTCCAATGTGCGTGCTGATGCGCTTCGAAATCTACGCGAGGCCATCGTTACCAAGCGTGTTAATCTAACTGGTTATATGCATAGCCTGTTTCAAAGTGTTTCTGCAATATCGTTGGATATAGATAGGGAGACACGAAGAGATTCATTTAAGGTGTTGAAATGTCTTTTAACTGCTTTAAAAACCGATGAAGTTGTGCCTTTCTTCCATATAATTTCATCTTATTTACGATGTGCTATGACACACATTCAACCAGCGATACAAGAAGATTCACTACTCATGCTTGATGTTCTAATGGAACATGTGCCACAATTAGTAGTTACACACAGTGTGAAGATTATACGAAACTTTCTTGAAATGATTTCAAGAGCGCGCAAAGAAGGTGATCACACCAGTCGTACTCTTACTGTTCGCTTAGGTGAAAAGCAAACTACAATAAAGTGGCGTACTAAAGTTTTGGAACGCTTGTGTCAAATGCTCGCTACTTTAGTTGAAAACAAACGTGCAAATAATACTCGAAAAATTGTAAACAGCTTCACTAAAAATGTCACATTTAACCCAAATGTTCCACAGCACTACAATGTGAAGAGAAAATTCCTTAGTCCAGCGAACAAAATCGACTTGCTAGCAGCGCTGAGACCATCGCTAGGCGTTAAAAGTGCTGACGCCATAGAAGGAAGTGAAGAAGACAGACTGCGAGAATACGTTAACCATCTCCTGCCTTTACTAGTGGAATCGTGGATTGAAGTGCGACCGCAAGACCAAAAAATGTCAGCAACACTGACAAGTGAAGCAGCACAAACATTAAAAGTTGCATTAGAAATTCTACAAAATATCTGGATGTTAATTGAGTTGCATGAGGAGACCGAAAGCAATCACCAACTGAGCGCTTGGTTTCAACAGCAATATGCGGAGACTTTTGCTGACAGTTTTTTAACTGATGGTTTTCCATACCAACAAAGTAGTGAAACAGGTAAAATTATATCAATTCTATATTTTCGAGCTCTAATTGTTATTATTCAACATTTATTCCAGATCCGGGGTTGAATAAGAAATCTTACAAGAAACATTTAAAATTGTTAAGTGTTAGCGGTGGAGAGTTATGCTTAGAACAAAATATATGTATGGCATACCTAATGTGCCAATTTTACAAAACAAATATTTTAATAGATACCCAAATTGAAAGGTTCACTGCGCTATTCAAATACCTTGAAGAAGTTGTTTCCAATCTCTCAGCGCATCCTTTGCAAAATCACCATGCTCTGATAAAAGCTTTGCGTATTAGCTTATTTGAGAACGATATTAAATTTTTACAATTGCATAAAGATCGAATGCTACCATTACTGAACAGCACCATAGACGCCTTTCTGCGAAATAATTTTCCTACTAAAAACAATTCAGAAATAGAGGTACTCACACTTATTTGCGACATTGTGCAAACACCACCGCTGAGACAACATTATGGGGAGGATACGTTCGTTCGCTTCTTAGAATATTTGCCACAACTTTTACTCAAGCCTAGTATTCAAGTGGCTACCGTTATTGCTATGTCAACTTTAGCCAAGCAAAAAAATTCAACATTTCTACGTGCGTTGGAAAGTAAAATTGAAGCTGTTATTGAAAACTTGCAGAAAATACAAGTTTCTGGAGCACCAAATGCATTTGAGGGGAAAAAACATATCATGAACTTATTTTACTGGACCGAAAGAAAATTTGCTTCGGAATATAAAGAACTTTTGCATCAAAATATCGATAAACATATTACTGACAAAAGAATTGTGAACTATTTCAAATACATATTATCCGACAAAAGCACATAACAAACCTAACCAACCTAAATAATGTTAACAAATAAGCGTCTTCAAGTTTAAATTATGCAAGATTAAAATTTCAGTATAGAAATGTGGTTATTTACTATTTGTATATTAATAAACAAATTTATATTAAAATGGGCACTGATTTTGTTTAATTACTTCTTCTTCGTACTTTTTGGTTTAAAACGATCCAGTACCGACGGTACACTTGAGTCGAGAGGTATAAAATCGCTTGCTTTCTTTGTGTGTTGTTTGAAGATAGTTTGTTTTGACTTTTTGATATCTTCAATAAACTCCTGTATAAAGAAACATAAATGAGTTTTTGTCATAAAATTGTTTAATGTGATATACCTTTCTTTTGAGCTCCTTAACGATTTGCTTATTACGTGAAGCCTTCGCGCTTCCACCGCGACCCTTCATTTTATGGCGCGACTTAAAGTCTATTTTTGGTGGTTTCAAATGGAATAATGCTCGCTTCGCATCAACCTTTTCTTGCAGCGTGGGAACATCAACAGCAGAAATTTCATTGGGATCCAAAGTAATCAACTCTGGTGGTATTTTCTCTAAAAGTGCATGCACTTCATGTTCACGACGTTGTGACTTGGTCTGATAAGGATTATCTTCCAAAGCATCATAATTGGGTTCGCCCGAGCCGGGAACAAGCAATGACTGAAATCCTTTGGCTGTTGCTATGCCGAGGATATCTTCATAGGGACAGAAGCGCATGCCATGCACAAATGAATCACACATTTGACGTAGATATGGCGTTTCAGCCTTTTCTCCCAATAACAAGTTCGATTGAATCTCACAATACGTGCCCTTCATAAATAATAATAAATTTCGTTTGAAAATAATAAAAAATAAAATAATAATAAACATATTGTCAAATATTGTTACCTGTGAATATGCTAGAGATCCACGCTGAGACACCACAACCTGATTAGCAGGCAGTCTCAATCGATAACTCACAAGTGGCCCTTTTAAAGCGCGTATATCCCAAACCTTAACTTTTCGATCTTGACCCGCCGTGACCATATATTGACCTTTTGGATCAACAGTCAATGCACTTATAGGTGTGGAGTGACATAGCATTTTCGCTAGAGGTTCTCTCACTTTTGGCGACCACATGGACACTACGCCTTTAGTTCCGCCAATGCATAAAACACCATTTCCTGGGTTTTGATGCATTAATCGTATATCACCAAGTTTAGTATTGAAATTGCTGACTAACTCGCCAATAGATACATCCAGCCATGATGCGTAGCCATCTTTATTACCAGTAGCAAGAAGAAAATGGTAAGGTAAGAACTCCATACAGTTAACTCTGTATAAACGTTTTATACAATGCAATTCGGTGCCTTGACTATCATAAATATAGACCCAATCTTTTTGCGCACATGCAAACATGGTGTGTACATGCAACCACGAAACATCAGCTACTTCCTCCATTACGTTCATTTCACAAAGAAGCTTCTTTGTAACCCAATCAAATGCAGCAACATGTCCGCGGCGTCCACCAAGCAACAAATGGCGACCATTTTTGGTATAACGCAAAGAATACGGACCAAAATCAAGATTCAGTTTGAAATGTTTCGATGCGGACAAAATGTCGACCTTAAATAGTAGAATTCGTTAAGTAAATCGTCAATACCAAATATCTAAGTACTTACATTTTTAGCGATTTCTACTTGCCGGTACTGTGCAGTTATCTCTTCCTCGTCTGGCTCAATAAAACCCTGTTGTTCTGTAAGTAAAAGTTCGGTTCGCGCTGCTTGTTCCGTTGCATATTGCAGATATACTTCTTTGCGTTCTTGTTTCTCTTTGAAAAATTTAGTTTTTACACCTTTAGTTCTTACCTTTTCCCCTTTATCATACTTTTTGAGGAGTTCTTTTGGAATTTTTGTGTTTGTTTCTGTTTTAATATGCTTTTTAGGTGCCCCTTTGCGGTAAAAAGTTTTTTTAAACCCGATCTGCTTCTCTTGTTCAACCTTAATGACTTCACCTGAGAAATTCTGTTGGCTGACACTTTTCAATTTAATAGCCTTAACCTCTTCCTCAGGCACAGGCGAATGAAAATAACGTGATGGAACAGATTTAGCACCTCTACGTGGCTTTTGATCTAAATTTTCTTCCTCCAACATTTTGTAAAATTTGAACAACTTTATTATGATTGTGGCACAACGTGCTCAAAAACAACAATGTTGCCACATTATTAAAACACATTAAAAAACAGAACTAAATTAAATGGTTTTCAAATAAGTGCCAAGAAATGCCAAAATCTGCGAAGTTTTATATTTTTCCTCTCATGCAAATGAAATAAAAAGATATATGCATAACTATAAAAAAGAGAATAAATTATTCATTTTTGAAGCATTACTAACCATATAAAATGAAGAAATTAAAAAAAAAATTAATTTAGCAGCAAACCGCTACATATAGTTGTTATTTGCATATAAAATCTTGTTTAATATTTCACATAGATTAATCGTTTTGGATATTTGGGGAACCAAGTAAAATATATTTATAAAAAATATGTATTAAAAATGTTTTTTATTTGTAGTAGTTGCATTTAACATGGAAAATATATATTTTTGTGTATATTTCACTACATATTGTTCGTGGTTGTTTACGTACAGCATGAGAAAGAGAAATAAATGAAGTAAGTTCAAAATAGGTACTAAGAAAGTGCAACACTAAAGTTGGTGTCATACAACCCTGGTTTTGACTCTCCCTTTTGGTTTTCCTCTCTTGTGAAATTTTCTTTTAATTTTAATTTTCTGTGGAGTGTGGCTGGGCAAAGTAACAATAGGTGAGTGTACCGTTTTAAAAGAATAAAATTAAATTAAATGTGTAAAAGTGCTGTGAAAAGAATTTTAATTAAGGTTACTTGTTGCAGAATATATTAAAGGAAATTAAAAATATAAATGCGGGTGTGAAAACGATACACTAAAAGTTTTTTCATTGGATAAATGTATCTGTATTTGCGGGGAAAGAAAACAAGGAGGCATTTTGAGTTAGTGAAGTAGTCGGTCGGTCGGTTGATTAATTGGCTTTTAGCGTGTACCGTACCTTCTCATATTGTCCGCTATATCAATAATCGGTTTCCTTTTCTACCGTGAGTGAGCAGGAGAACTGGTGTTGTTCGGTTTTTAGTGCAACAGTGTTGCCGCTATCAGAAAAAGAATTAAGATGGAGGAGGATAGGTAAAGTTAACGAATGATATTTGAAAGTGGACAAGATGATAAAGAAGTAGTCAGAAAGCGAGGCATAAAATATTTTATTCATTTTCGTAGCTGCTGGCAAAAATGTCGGAATTGTGAATGAAAAGCGAATACCATTGCTCATTTAAACAGTGCTTTAATAAAAGAAAACTGAATAAAATTGCAAGAAATTCTGCAGATAAACGTCTAAGAGAAATAGTTTTATTTTGTGTTATTAATTTAGTTTGTTAATTTGGCCAAAATTCTATCCCTACTGTGAGTAGAATCCGTAAAAATTTAAGTAAAGTGTACAAAGTATCATGTGTCGGAAATAGACTAATATCGTTTCCTTGTGTTCGCACTTTCTTTTGAATTTTCAGAAATAAAATGAGCAGTTCCGAAGAAGTCTCTTGGGTAACATGGTTTTGTGGGCTGCGCGGCAATGAATTCTTTTGTGAGGTAAGTATTAAGAAAAATTTAATAATGATATTAATGCAAGAAATTAAATTGTGATATTATTTTCAATTCCTCTTTGTTATCTAATCACTATAGTTTTAACAATGTGGGTATGGTAGAAGTTAGCGTGTACGAATTTCTATTGGTGACAAAATTTGCTTAGGTTGTGCCCATATAATTTGATTTAAAATTCCGCCACCCCTAACCTTTAATTTAACATTCCTTTGCTGTTTATTAGTTCGTCCATGGAGTGATTCAATTTGAATGTTGAGGTCACATAAGTATATATATTGCATTTTAAGAGGATATATAATTGCTATACATAATGTTTAATATCATATTATTTACTCTTCATTCTTCTCTTTAAAGGTTGATGAGGATTATATACAAGATAAATTTAATTTAACTGGATTAAATGAACAAGTTCCCAATTATAGAAATGCTCTTGATATGATCCTTGATCTCGAACCAGGTATGTATACAATTTTATCAATGTAAAAATTATATATAAAACTAAAAAAATTATTTTCTTATTGTAGAAGACGATCTGGAAGAGAATCAACTGCAATCAGATATGACGGAGCAGGCGGCAGAAATGCTGTATGGCTTGATACATGCCCGATATATTTTGACAAATCGCGGAATTGCGCAAATGATCGAAAAATACCAAACTGGTGATTTTGGACATTGCCCACGTGTATATTGTGAAAGCCAGCCCATGTTACCTTTAGGTTCGTCACTCATAACAACTAAAATTATTCACTAGTCATAAATTAATCTCAATAAATTGCAGGTCTATCAGATATACCTGGTGAGGCTATGGTAAAAACCTATTGCCCCAAATGTATTGATGTATATACGCCAAAATCGTCGCGTCATCATCACACGGATGGTGCTTACTTTGGCACGGGATTTCCACACATGCTCTTCATGGTTCATCCTGAATATCGTCCTAAGCGGCCGACTAATCAATTTGTTCCAAGGTAAGTAATAAGAAAGTAAAGAGATAATTAATATTGAGTAGCATATTGTAGATATACTATACATGCTATTTTGCATATGTTTTATTTATTCGTCATCAAGCTGTAGAAATAGATTATTTAATAGTTGTAGTATCGGCAAAATATCGATACTGATCAAACCAATGTCGAGCTGATCATTATCCAAAGCATAGCTACAATCTCCGAAAAAAATGTTTAGATCGTACTACTATTATTAGGATATATAGCTGCTATACGACTGACTGATCAAACTCAAATCATTATATGTAAATCTCTTATTTGTCAAGGTATCTTCATGAAATAGATTATTACCCAAAGCATAGATACAATTTCCAAACATATTGTTTAGAACGGACCACTATGTTGTTGTTGTTGTAGCGACAGAATTGCCGATTTGACAGTCCTTGGCCGGAGAAATTCGGGTCCGTTCCGGTTACGTAGACCCGACTGTGATGGGAACGGATCGGACCGCTATAGCTTATAGCTTTCATCCAAACAAACCGATCAAAATCAGAATAAAAAATTTTTTATGTATTAAAGCTTTACTGCAGCCGAAATTAACGTATTTTCTTTTTTTTTTTTTACATTCATTCATCTATATTTAAATATATATACTATAGTTTCGCGTTTTATTTCGACCTAGATTTGTCAACTCCGTAATTCCTCAAACTTTTGTTAGGGAATGTTTTCTGAATTACAAACACAAGATATATGTATAATTATGTTTACGAAAATTTATTTGTTAATTAAATTCTATTTGCCAGAATTTTGCTTCTTTATTGTCATGAAATAATCTATCAAATGATAAATCCGTAAATTTTAATTGTTATGGCATTTTTTGCTTATAATGCAACAGAACTTTTCCTAGTGTAAAGATTGGAGAATCTCGGGGGATTTCCCTCTTGATTTACGTGATAGTGCAATAAATGCGTTAACGAGATAATACCTGTAAAGTTTTATTTTTAAATGGGCATAAATTTATAGACTAAACGAAAATTAAGCTTTAAACATAGTTCTTCACTTTATCAGCTTTAGGTTTTGGGTATTATAATTTCCAGATATAAGATATTAGAATTTTTGTATATAAATATATTATTATTCCACGTTTTTAACATAATAATTGATTTTATGTTGTTTCTTTTTTTTCAGACTTTATGGCTTCAAAATTCATAGCTTAGCTTATCAAATTCAACTACAGGCAGCAGCCACCGTTAAAATGCCACTTCGAGCGGTAAATTTAAAATGAAATTTCTTTGCTCACCTCTTAAACTTTAATATCGTTTTTCCTTTTTCTTTTTATTTTTAATTTTTCTCATAACTATTACATTAAACAAAAAATTTTATAAAAAACGTTTACATTGAAAAAAAAAACAGAAAAATTAATAAAAATTAAGAAATACAAACCACAAAAACAACTCAAGCAAACTTAAAAATGTAGAGATCATGATGAAAGTTCGTTTTGTTTAAGAAATAAATTGAAAGGCAGCCAAAAACACACACACAAACAACATTAGAAACTGAGATACAATAACTAATCAGCACAAAATGTATTGAATTTTCCATGGAAATCGTCTTCACTATATGCAAAACACAAAACACACATTAACTTTCACAGTCAAGCAACCTACATTTGCTAATGTATTGAAGTTTTGTATTGTTAACGCATGTCATAAAACACTACTTAGACATATTTTCATTTCATCCAATTCTTCCCAACACAAATGCATCATAAAAGTGACGAAATTCAATACAATATCGAAGCTTTTTCTAATACGCCGTATTTTTTATTTTTATATATATATAACTCCTCTGGTAGGAATGAGATAAACATTCACAGATTCACATCAACTTGCATTCTGTTAATGTAGTTTTGAATGATGAATAAATTTTAATATTCAAAAATAATGATTTTGTATACACGCTCTTAATGGAAAGTGAACTTAATTGAAACTAAAAACATAAGTTGATATAATTTCACTAAGTCATAAGTGAACGATTTTTATTAAGCTATCATATAGAAGTCCGGAAAATTATAGGTTAAATAGTGTAGTCATGATTTTCAGTCTATAATCTGTTTAAAAACATTTGTATTATTATATACTAAAAAAATATATATACAATTAAAATAACTCCGTTTAAATAAACATAGAATGTTTCGCATCGATACATTAGGATAAAATCCAGGCACTTTTTTTACTTGTATTTAAAACCTGGATTACTTGCATGTAATGATATAATTTTTTTTTTATGTATGAAATTTTAATATAAAAATTACGTTTTCGATGTTAGTCGAATCGTATTATTTAGCTATAGTTAACATTGATGGATAAGTGGTGTCATTTCATGCATCATGAAAATGCCAGTGATAACAGATTTATATATTTTCGAGTAAATATTTTTATACATAGTTTATAGGCGACAAACACTTTTAACTTGGACCCAGCGAAAATACCATACAGTCGTATTTTCATTTTCAAGTGAACTGAAAGAATGTATACCTTCCAAGAACACAACTGCATACTTGTATTTCTACTAGAGTATGTGTGTATACATTATTTTGTTTATGTGGCTAAAAGAAGTGTCTAGGTGTGTTATATACTAGCAGCGATCAGCTATGTGCGTACATCTCAATTTTGTCTGCCTCCTTATGTAAGTGACATGTTTCTAATATGGACTTGTGTTCCTTGTCAACTTTGTTATACAAATTAAGTAAATAATTAAGTTAAAAATAATTTTCCTAACTTTCACAGGACTATATTGCCCTCTGTCAGGAAATTCTAAGCCGCCCAGATCCAGAAGCTGAAGGGGAGTGAAGGATTCTCCTCCCAATAGCCCTTCAACAGAATTTAATGCAAAACAAATATATGTGCATGTATTCGATGCGTAACATGTCAATATTTTATTGCCTTTGTATAAAACAATAATGTACAGTTTTAATTAAATTTTCATTGTTATTAAGATAAAGAGCTTTTGGCATTTCATTTCGTCGTCGCATTTTGGATGTTAGGAAAAAACTGTATTGATTTGTGTGTGTTAAAAAAAATTCAGTACAATTCGATATAGTATAGAAGATGAGTTTAATTTTGTTTAAGGTTACAGTCGATTAATAAGATTTTTTATTGATTATTTTTATTGAAATATATTAAAAATTATAGATATACAAGTATATATAAAAATATAATAATGCATTTACTTTGCAAAGATGGTTAGTTAAATGTGAGTCTTCTATAGAGCCTGGTTGTTATGGCAATAGCATAACACATTCCTCAAATAGTTTAGGGAATCCACGCGAGTGGATATTCGCATGAAAATCTTGATCCGTGGCCGTCGCCTGTTTTGGGACTGGTCGAACGGAAGCGAATCAGAAATGAAATTCTCGGGAGAACGCACGACAATGTCGTAAAAATAATTTGATAAATTAAGTGTACATTTATATAAATTATTTTACATCTATTACAATTTAAGCTAAGTACATAATATATTTTACGATAATGCCATGTAGCGATTTATTTTAAAAATCGACATCATTCTTATCGGCAAATGAGAAAATGCATAGCCCAAATTTAGTCAAAATATAATTTATTAAAAAACGTTGAGAGTGTATAAAAATGTGTACCAATATCTTCACAATAACTTACGATATAATTTCAGCTTTATTATTTTATTTTGATTTTTATTCATAAAAGCTCATATATGTATGTTTCTTGCTACATCACTCAGAATCATTTTCATTCATATTATTCTGAACCGATTATCAATCACCTAGTATATCGGCAACAAATGCTCATATAGATACGTACATCCGCATATTCACATTAGCTTTGGTGTTTAAAAACCATTTGCATCGGACAAATATTTCTATGGAATTCATATATTTAAAATTTATTAAATGCTCTGGAAAATAAGTTCACATTAAATGTAAACTGCATATTTGCTAGGAAATGTGTAAAACGTAGCGAACATATGTAAACACGCATGTATGTGTATATGTGCATAAAGTATATTAAATACCCACATTTGAATGGGATTTTCGCACAATCGCCTTCACATACATATACTATAATATTTTGCGCTCCATATCGGCTAAGTGTTGACTGTCATATCAATTGTAGTATTCACGCGTATATGCATATGTACATACATTGCCCCGGACAGACAGACATGAGTACGTACTTTCATCGACACTTATGCCTACATGTAAATATGTATGTATATTCACTTACAAAATTAGGTGCTGTGCTATTTATTTTACTTCCTAATATTCATCAAATTTGTTGAGTCTATAGAATTTTATTAAATTATAAAAAATTATTATACAAGTATGTAATTTATCTTTATAAATTTTCTTTTTTTCTTTTGATTTCTTTTTCCTCTTAAAAAATATTCTCGTTAAATCTGTCTGTGTCTCTGTACGTGCAATAACAAATGTTTGGCTACAGCGGACTCAACAGAAAGACGAGGAAGAAAGTAACACTAACAACATGGGGGAACAGGCGTATCTAAATCTGAAACAGGATTAAATTTATAAACGCAAATATTGAGATTGGCCACAATCAGGCAAATACCCATGTATGCAAAAATGCTAATATGCAGACGGGCGGTGGTGGGGTGATGGATAATAAAGCGAGTCAATATCGTACCTTTTTATTCATTTCACACACATTTCCATTTGAAGTATTTAAATGAAAAGTAACAGAAACACACTAAAAAAAATTGAAGCCAACGGAAGCGCTGAATAGACGTGGAACAACATTTCCGGTTTTCGCTTCGTACAACTTAAATGTTTGTAAATTAGTATGTCGATTGAAAAACAGCACTAGAATTATTTTTAGAAAAAAGTATACATACATATAACACACAAACACACACACACACACACAAACACTTATAAATACACACGTACATACATTTGAATCAAGCAAATCATATTCGTTTGCCTGAGTAAAACTGAACATTTATTTTTAGTAAATTTTAATAAAATATTTAGCCTTTTTACTATCCATAATCAACAATTACAATAAATTGTAATTAAGTATAAATGAAGTTTGTAAATGAAATACTATAAAATAAAATACGATGTGCTACGATACCAACAGCGGTTAAAAGTACGAGTATATATGTTTGGTATGTTCCTACCAACACATGCAAATTGAGTGACCCGTAATTGACAATTGACGGTAAAATAAATATTGTTTATTCAGCAAGCAGTTGTATGCCTGCTTTCACTAAATTTGGAGCTATGCATTTAGGTAGCAGACTCATATCTCACTAAATTGCTGATGATGGAAGGAATAAATAACGTATTCAATGTTTGTTGTTGTTGTAGCGGCAGTATTCTGCAGAGGTTACGTAGGACCGACTGTCGTGGGATTCAATGATGGATTAGGTTGGTACTGCTGTTGATCAACATTGGTAGGAAGTTATGCATGTTTCCATCGTTTTCTTACACGATGGTAAAATATCTCTTGTACAATTTTTTTGAGTTCGATTCCTCAAACATTATAATCTTTCATAAAGAGACAATCTAGTTCGCTTCCTGCGAATGTTAATATGGGAATAAAATCACCACTAATTGAATATGATAAAATTTCCTTCTCAAGGAAGGAACGCTTCAGTACTGACAATCCTTGGACGAATATAAAACCGACTTCGTTCAGAATGATTTTCTGCATTAAATGTTATCAGCTCTCTTTTTGCCGATTAGACCCACGTGCTTTTCAAATCCCTAAATCACTAAAAAAAATCGATCGACCAAAGCCAAGTTCAATTTGTGCGCACCGAAAGGGAAAATCACTCAGGATAAGAAAAAATTTATTTTAAAATAAAATTTATTAAATTGTACCAGAGAACGTAATATTCATTTACGTTCTCTGCTTCGGAGTAGTAAAAAAAATATTCATACTTGCATATGCGCCTAAAAGTATGCAATTTGTTTTTTAAAGAAGTAGGGAATCAATTACATACTTGTATATGCCGAAAAAATGTGTGTATTGACAAAGATATTTCCTCGATGTGTTGTTTACTTTTTTTAAAGAAAGAGCAATTTTTCTTCAGCCGAAGAAAACGTTTCATTGCTAAGGTATCTGAATGTGATAAAGGAGTCCCAGAGTTGTTGTACAAAATTCGGAAGAGGAATTAAAATATAGCTAATATTACTGTCAATGGCATAAAATGTTTGTATTTATAAATTCATACAAAAATGTATTTGTTTGTTAGTAAGTGTTTAAGCAGTAAGGTCAGCAACCGGTAATGTCGCAAAATATGCACACACTTTCAATTTTGAGAATTAACAGAGATAAATCGGTTAACGTGTGGATGTATAATCACTTGAAACAATTAATATATTGTACTTAAGTGTTAATGAAAACCGCTATATTATTTTTATATTTTTATTTAATATTTGTTTAATTTATTTTATTCTTTTTGTCGTAAAGCTCTTCGTAAAATCGAAGAGTTTCGTTCACTTCTTTTCAATTACAATATTTTGCCGTTTAGTATAAAATGAAATCACTTACTCCATGCATTACAATTACAATTCATGAATGTGAATGAGAAATGTACAATTGCAAAACTTATTTAACTTATCGAGTTTTGGACAGAATTGACATGGAATGTGAGACACATCCGAAATTTTTAAATAAAGGGAAAAATAAATAAACTAAAGTTTTAAATTGCTAAATACCTTTCTCTACAAAAAAAGTGATGTAACTTGTGCAGAAGGCTGTATATAAATTTGGTTCAACTAAAAAAGGAGCTTGGTTGTATTAAATATTTCTGGACTGTAGAGACTTCATTTTTTCTTCATATTAGATCTCGAAATTTATTAAACTTATTTTGTTTACGGGTGTATCAGTCTGAAATTTTCTATATCAGTTTTAACAACTAAATGAAATTAATAGTAAATGTATTAAGGACTAATTATTTACTCCATCCTCCCCTTACAGCTCATCCTTCGCATCATCATCACTTTCTTCAGTTGGTGGTACACCACCTGCTCCTTGGTACAGTTTGGCAATAATGGGTTGCACAATCGATTCCAAATCCTTCTTTTGTTTCTTGTACTCTTCTGGATCGGCATCGGCGTTTTGTTCCATCCATTTGATGGTATCATCGATCGCGCTTTCCATTTTGGTCTTTTCATCATCACTCAATTTACCGCCCAATTTGTCTTTATCGCCAATTTGGTTCTTTAAACTGTAAGCGTACGATTCTAATTCGTTGCGTGTCTCGACCTTCTCTTTCAGTTTTTTGTCATCATCGGCAAACTTTTCAGCATCGCGGATCATGCGGTCAATATCTTCAGGAGTCAAACGATTCTGATCGTTTGTAATGACAATCTTTTCCTTGTTGCCTGTACCCTTGTCTTCGGCACTAACTTGTAAAATACCGTTGGCGTCAATTTCGAATGATACTTCGATTTGTGGAATACCGCGTGGAGCTGGTGGGATGCCAGTGAGATCAAATTTACCAAGCAAATGGTTATCCTTTGTCATTGGACGTTCACCTTCGTAAACTTGGATAGTAACTGTATGCTGATTGTCAGAAGCAGTAGAGAAGATTTGCGATTTCTTGGTTGGGATTACAGTATTGCGAGGAATCAATTTTGTCATCACACCACCAACAGTTTCAATACCCATAGTCAATGGATTGACATCAAGCAAAACAATAGCATCGGTGTCTTGTTCGCCTGATAGTACACCAGCTTGAACAGCAGCACCATAGGCAACAGCTTCATCAGGATTAATACCGCGAGATGGTTCCTTATTGTTAAAGAAGTCTTTGACAAGTTGTTGTACTTTTGGAATACGTGTGGAACCACCAACCAAAACAATTTCATGCACATCCTTCTTATTCATATCAGCATCTTCAAGAACTTTGGTGACTGGTTTGAGTGTTGAGCGGAACAAGTCCATATTCAATTCTTCGAATTTTGCACGGGTTAGAGTTTCTGAGAAGTCTTCTCCCTCGAAGAAAGATTCGATTTCAATACGAACTTGGTGAGAACCAGACAAAGCACGTTTCGCTTTCTCTACCTCACGACGCAATTTCTGAACAGCACGGTTATCTTTGCGAATATCCTTACCCTTCTTCTTTTTGTACAATTTGATGAAGTGATCCATTACACGTTGATCGAAATCTTCACCACCCAAGTGAGTGTCACCATTGGTGGCAATTACCTCGAATACACCATTGTCGATGGTTAGCAACGAGACATCAAAGGTACCACCACCCAAATCGAATACCAACACATTTTTCTCTCCTTCTTTTTTATCCAAACCGTAAGCAATAGCGGCGGCAGTAGGCTCATTAATAATACGCATAACGTTCAAACCAGCAATGACACCAGCATCCTTGGTGGCCTGTCGTTGAGCGTCATTGAAATAAGCTGGCACAGTAACCACAGCGTGTGTAACTTTCTTGCCAAGATAGGCCTCAGCGGTTTCCTTCATTTTACCCAAAACCATAGCAGAAATTTCTTCAGGGGCAAACACTTTGTTGCCTTGTGCTGTGGCTACACTGATGTGTGGTTTTGAATTCTTTTCAACAACCTTGAATGGGAAGAATTTGATATCATGTTGGACATTGGAATCTGACCATTCACGACCAATGAGACGCTTGGCATCGAATACTGTATTCTCAGGATTTGTTGTCAACTGATTCTTAGCAGCATCACCAATCAGACGCTCACCATCAGCAGTAAATGCTACATAAGATGGTGTGATACGATTACCTTGATCGTTGGCAATAATTTCTACACGCCCATTTTTATACACACCAACACTAAAACGAAATTAATTTAACGAAAAAATTATTTAACTGAATTATCAAATAAGAAATTGCTCGTTACAACTTACCATGAGTATGTTGTCCCCAAATCGATACCAATCACTGTGCCAATGTCCTTATCCTTTTCTTTTTTCTCTTCACCATGTGATAAACTCACAAAGGCCACAACGGCCAAAAGTAATAAGCAAACCTTCATCTTGAAGTATCTTTATGATATATGTATTAAATTAACTGTAAAAAGGAAATATAAAAAGTATATAATTTAGAAAGTGTAATAAAATATGCAATAAGTTGAGAGAAGTTAAAGCACGTTAGTAACTGTGAAATAGGCATGAAATTGCTTACGTCACACTGTTCTAAATATATACAAATAAGCATATGTGTGTATTTTTATAGTACGTGACTTCTAAATAAATATTAAAAAGTAATAACCAATTAATGCAATATAGTTAAAACTTTCTAAATTCCCTACTAAAATACTTGAATATCATCACAAAATTATAAAAACCGCCTACAACAAAGCTCTTATAAATTCTGACTGACATTGATAATCAAAATTCGAAGTGTGCTACGTGTACATAAAAGTACAATAAATTAGTGCGTCTCCTAATCCCAAATATTCCATAAATTCTCTCACAAATACGCTCTTTAAACTCAGTAGTTGCATACTTCGTGACCGCATTAGCAAAACATGGTTGTTGTTGTGCCAAACATGGTAGTTCCATATGTACTAACCGAAGACCGAAGTTGTTAGAAATTTTTGTTTTTATTGCTACCAACAATTTCTTGATACGTGTACACTTTCCAATGGAATTTTGTAGAGGAAAAAGCCGGGAGCCGGTTACGTTCTACGCTAAAGTTAGAGCGCATTCAGATTAACATATAAAATCAAAATTAAAAGAGAGCTTTCTAGACGTAGATATGTAGGAATAAGTTTGCACGCGTTACTTATATTATTAAGCACCCTAAGACTTCGGTACATATATGTTATATATTCTATATTCAAAATGTATATATACAAAAAACTAAAACGGGTTGGGATACAAATACATATGAATATATCTGTAAGCAAACGTAAACATATCCACAAAACCTATCAACTACAGATGTAAAAAAAAGGAGTTAAATATTTCAACAAGCTGTAATTCTAGAGGAATTGGTTAGCAACTATGAATTATATATTGTTTTGCAAGAGTTTGGTAATTATTTAAACAAGTGGAACAAAAACTGTGTAAACAATATGGGCGATCTACTTGTTGGCACTTAGAAGTGAAATCCCGTAACTGACGTGTACTTTTTATTGCCTTCCACGCTTTTTATTTGAGCAGTGTAGTACAAGCCATGACGTGTACAAATCATCACCGAGTGCAACTTTTTTGTTCAATTGGAATTGGAATCATGGATGCATATCTGCTAGCACAAGCAAAGCTTATTATTATAATATGTGGCTTTTGTGATCAATGCAGACGTATATTTTCGAGAGCTATTGATAGCGCTTTTTTCTTTTAGAAATTCGGAAACTACCATATAATTCATTACCACTGCAAGCATTAAACAAAGAGCCAAGTTTCATTTATGGAATGAATTACAAAAAAAAAAAAAATATCACGGTATATTAGTTGCTTGAATTGTGCTTTAGGATTTTCAATGTTTGAATAATATTTTATACTTTTAGCAATTGCATTATAATTTTATTCGCGGCACTTTTAATTTAAATCAACTTTTTAATGTTGATTTATTTTATGTTTTCGGGTCACAGTGTGCAATTCATTGATATTCCAATTGGCAAATGCGACACAATAGTTGGCAATACTTTATTTCTCTTCCTCTCTCTCCCAAATTCCACACGTATAGACAATCTTCGTGTGTATGCCGAGAAATTTCCAGAAATGTTGCGATTTTACAATTTTCAGTTTTAATATTAATTGATAATTTTGAGAAATTTCTACATCTTATAGACCGAATTCAACCATTTAAAATCCTAATATCACTTTCACAATAATTGAAAACTTGTAATCTTATACATCTAAGTAAATACACACTGGAACACCCACACACAAACTAACTCTTTCAATTAACGTATATTAAACGTGCTTTATTTTTCTCCAGAAAATATTTATTATACTTACTTTACTATTACTATATAAATTATGTATCCTGTACGTAACAGTTTAACTATTTTGGCAGTTAAAAAGTAATGTATATTTTTAATGCTTCCGCGACTTCACTTTTAAATTATATTCTTTATTCTCTGATGTGTAAAATTCAACTGATTGTTCTCTCTGTGTCGCCGGCTATTTTTACTCCTATAATTTTGGCGTGGTATTTTCTTATTGGTTGTTGGGCTGTCAGTTTTGTTGCATTTTGATTGGCCCACGTTCGGAGAGTGTGAGAGCGCAAGTTATTTTCACAAATGGAACAGAACTTTCGCCAGTGTTCGCGAAATTTACAGCTATTTTCATTGTTGAAGTGCTACCAAGTCAGCGGAAGTGATGCAATTAATTTTCAAATGTTTTGATATGTGATAATAAGAATTTATTGTTTCATTTTTATATTTAATAAGCATGTCGTAAATCTTTTAACCAAAAATATATGTATTTCGAATTAATTACGTGTCTAATTACTCTACGCAATAATTGTGAAACTCTTCATATTGCTCAGCAGTTGTTTCAGATTACGTGTTCTTAGTGCAAATTTACGATAACGGATATGGATATGTAAATTTACATACTTCCATGGGAAACAACTTGCAATAAAGAAATTGGAACAGTGGTATAAATTACTTGGAATGCATAAATTTGTGCTAAAATAAGATAATTTTTAACAACTTGGAACATATTGTACAGACCATAATTGTTTAAAAACTAATCGAGCTTTTACTAATAATACAAATTAATTTCCGAATGTCTGTCTATCCGTACAGTGACTTGTGGATATGTGTTGTTACAGGGATAATACATCAGGTTTTCATGCGAATGAGTTAGAAATTGGAAATATGTAGGTGACTCACACCCACTTCTAAGAGAAATTTCATATCTTCTACAATATTTGACCAATTTGAGTCTTCGATATAATTCTCCCTGGTTCACCTGAGGTAGCTTTAAACTATATGCAATAAGACATTGTAAAATATGCTTGAGCTATCAACAAAGATGTCGAAAAAGATTCCATTGATACCCATTTACTATGATTTTTGACGGCTATCTCTCCAACCTTTCTCGCTTCTTCTCTGCAAGGAGCCTGACACTCTCCCCCACTAAATCCATAGCGAACATTTTTACCAACTGGACGATGGAGTACAGACTGGATCTAAACGGCCGGTTTTAAACTATGCAGCAGCAATGTGGTCGCCTGGATGTAGTGCAACGCAGACGAAGAAGCTTCAGATATGTCAAAACACTGCACTCCGGACTATCACGGGATGCCACTTGATGTCCCCAACCGAACATCTACATAGTAAGGCCCTTGCTTCCGGTCAAGGAACATAACGAGCTCATCTTTAAGCAGTTTCTGCTGGGATGCTTTTGTAGAAACCACCCCTTCGTCTGATTGAAGTGGAACCATCTCCTAGAAACATCAAGAGGTCCTTCCTCGATTATGTCCACGACATTGGACAGTACGCCGACCAGACTTCGGACGCTACGAACTTAAGATATGCACTGACCGCCATTCATAGTGGAGCCATTAACACCTTCACCGACTCCCTCTCAGAGAATGGCGTACTTGGAGTCAAACCTCCACCCATCGCAGACGTGGAGCTCGAGTTGCCACGCGAATCTAGAGTGACCCTAGCGCAATTTCGTTCTGGATTCTGTAGCAGGCTAAACTCCTACTTATCCAGAATCGACCCCGACATACCCAATATATGTCCTGCATGCAATGAGTCTCCGCATGACACTAACCACCTCTTTGCATGCCCAACGAACCCCACTCATCTAACACCTGTTTCCCTATAGTCCGACACCGTCGAAACAGCTCGTTTCCTGGGCCACCCGTTAGATGACCTCAACGACAACCAAACTGAAACTTACCACCCAAGCGGGGACTAGATAACCGTTACAACAACAACAAGAACAACTGTGCCAGAAAAAGTTTATACCGTATATTTTGAAATTAAGTAAGCATGCTTATTTATTGTAAGTCCAATGTTTTTTTCACTGAAAATGGATGAAAAATTATCCATATGTTGTACTTATTTTAGAAATAAAAAATAATTATTATATTATCGCTTTCAGCAATTTGCTTTTGTATATTTTATTTAGTTTTGCCACTTATTAACTTAGTGCTTATCAAATTACTAAAAACAAGGATAACAATTCTTAGTTTCTTTACGGTTAGATTTATCATTAAATGATTGACTTCATTTTATTTAAATTTGTGTACTTTATGCGGTTTCCCGTTTGTAAGTGTGCTATGTATAATAAGGTAAACACGTCGAATCCACAAAGACGTGAAATTACGCTTTTGCACATCTTGCTCTTAACAATAAAAACGGTATGAGGTTAATAGTAAATAGTTTATAATTTTAATAAGACATACATTTTAACATGCGAGTTATAGAATCTCTTTTTAATATTTGGTATTTAGGTCCAGTTTTATAAGTTTGTATGTATGTATGTATATATGCAGAATTAATGAGTAAGTATAGACGTTTTTGTTTTTATAATTAATTCTATCTTTGTTAATTATTTATTAATATTATATATTACGTTAAGAAATATGCTAAAAATCACTTAATCGCAGCAAAAAGAGGCAAAAACAAAATGTTTTAAAAAGTTAAAAAGAAATTACAATAAATTTAACTAATTATTTATATCGAAATACGACATCGATTATAATATTTTTTTTATAAAATTTCTAAATCGTTGAAAATTGAACGGGAGCAGTGACAAAAATGAGCTATAAACCAAACATAACAGTACGATAAGCATTTAGTGCGATGAACTACATTATATACTTAAACAACAAAACTTTTAACCTATTATCGAACAATTTTTATCAATTTCTGGCAACAAATAATAATTTAAAAGTATAAATAAAAGATTTCTGAAATTATTGTTTTTTCTTAGTTACACATGTTATAAACTAAAAAAAGAAATCCGAAAAAGTTGGACTTATATATTATATATGTCTAAGAACTACACTACAACAATAATTACCAAAAAAAATTCGCGGCATGTTTTATGCTATATTAACAATTAATAAGTTTGTCTGTGTTTGTTACAATGCAAAAGGCATAACCAAATTCGGTCAATTAAGTGTACACACATAAATAGATAGATTACAAATTACAATAAGTCTTGAAGAGTAACTCGCATTTATTCATGACGAACGCCGCAAATTGATAGAAAAGTACTAAAATTATGTAAACTACAGGCGGGCAAAACTGTGTATACAATGTTGGCGGTTTCCTGGCATTTGAGCCGAAAGTCATATAGTGCATTAAGCAGTAATTCCACGGACGGTGCAGCAGTAACCTGATAGAACACTTTGAGGTGAATTGCCGGTATATAAAAGGCAGTTGAATTCTTTCCACCTACGACGTTCGTATTAATTTGGATTTGGCTATTTTTATTTATTGAAGAAGTTGAATGTGAATTTGCATCCGTCGCACAAACGACATCCGATTCGTTTGTGTGGCCAGTGCTGACATGCGTTGAGTCTGCTATTCGTTTAGTGATCGGATAATCTTTGAGCAATCGATTGACAGTATATGTAAGTATTTCGTCAAGGTTTTCAGCACTAAGATTTTGTGCTAGGCGGCAATGGTTGCTAAGTATATCATCACTTAATTGGGTCAACTGTGTGGTGGATGAGGCCAAACCTGCATAAAAAATTAATTGAATACATCATTTAGTTTTCAGATAAACGTAAATATTTAGTAATTGAACTTACCTGTAGATACATAACAGACAATTGCAGCGCAATTATTTTCATAGTTCCAACGTCGTCTTATAGAGATAGTATAATCGCTTACGGAGCAACCAGTTTCTTCGTCTGTTTGCGATTAAAAAAAAATTAATATCTTAATTTCCAAGTGAAAAATAAAAAGTATTTATATACTTACATTCGAAGCGATCATTATGTGTATGTGCCCACACTTGCCATTCCACCAAAGCCTCACGTGGCAGAGCAGGCACAACAATATAATCCATTATAGCGTTTGTTGTGCGTCGTTCCCATTGACGACGCGCTTCGGCTATAAACGCTGGATGGGTCAGGAAACAGATACCATGGACTACATCACGTAGTTGACCGTGAGCATTCATCGCTTTTGCTATTCGACTAATATGTCGTAAAGCCAACTTGCATTGTGGGCGTATACCACCCTCGATAATTGTCATACTTCCAGGAACGAGAGCAATTTGACCAGATATATATGTTATTTCGCCCACCTAAAGTGAGGGCACAATTTATATAAAAATATTTTGCACTCAAGTGAGAACTTACCCTAGTCGATTGACTATAAGTGCCAATATTTGCCGGCGCCCAGTGGGAAATTCCTTGAACGTGCATGGTTTGGCGTTGCTTCAACGTTGCATCACCACTATTATTGTGCTCATCAATATGACCTATAAGAATATTATGATAACAGTTAAAATTACATTTTTTACTGTGCTGAACATACCATCTACTTCACTTGTCGATAACGTGGGACGACGTCGCATGGGCGCTCGAAATGCAATCGCTTCCAATATCACGTGGCAATCCTCCGGTAGAGGGCATTCAACGCATACTCGTGTGGGTGGATTTTGGAAATTTATTGTTTGGCCATAAATACGATTCAATAAAGGATATTCAGTCATTGAACGTATATAAAGTGTAATATAACAGTAATCGGTTAATTCATAATTGTGCTGGACAGCTAAGTCGACCAAGGATTGCATAGCCAGATGCATTCCTTCTTCTAAGGTTTCAGCGCAGCCTTAAATGGAAAAGAAAGAAAAAAAAATTGTAACACATTTTCCATGAGTTATTTATGAAGAGACTTGTTACCTTGTATACCCGCCACCCATAACCAGCCTTTTTGATTAAATGCTGCCATTGGCTGATTTTTTAGTGGACGGAATTCACGCTCGATTTTCATTGGACTGGGTGGCTGTGTTGCCAGTGCTGTCGATATGCCGGCAGTGGCACCGGTAGATGATATACCCATTGATAACGAACCACATACTGCTGCCGTACTGCTGCCCAATGGATGCGCTACACCAAAGTTGTTGACAGCGGTTTGTAGTGAGGCAGCGCACAGCGCTGCTGATGAGGAAAACAATGAAGACGGTGTCGGTGGTTCATCGACACTAGCGCTCTTCGTCACAATCGGTATGGGCGATGAAGAAGTAGTCAAGTGGCGTCCAAATGAATTGCTACGCGATATCATCAATTCATTTTGACTCAAGGATTCACGTAAACGGGTTTCTTTCTCTATCAATTCTAGCTCAGTTTCACTGAGATCTGGGTCACTGAGGTCACTGTACGTTGATTCGTTTAGGTCACTTATATAGTCCAGAGACTTTTTTACAAAAACATCACAGCATTGAGTCGGTTCTTTCGATTGCATCGACAATTTGGTGAAGTTTATATACCCGACCGGACATACAGGATCCGCGGAACTAATTATCGTTTGAACATCTTCACTGAAACGAATATGTTGGTAGTACAATTAAAATAGTAATAATTTAATTCAATTTATATAGTAAAATCATAATACACTTACACTACAATTCGTTGTTTAAACAACGGACAGTCTAAAGTAAATGTTTCGTATTCACCACCCTCTCCACAAACATTTAAACCATACTTATCACGCATTTTCAGCAGGTGAGGTTGTATTTCACGCAACGATTTACCCAAATGCCGATCAGGAACTAAACCCAATGCAGCTACCTGTAAACATAAAAAATTAAAATGTCACATGCGTTTTATTTAAGAGTTATGAGTTTTGTTTCAAGTACTTCAGATATAATAATTTTTGGTTACACAAATCTCAAATGCCAAAGGCAGAGATACTCAGAGATACTCTTGTTTAAAACCACTTCTCATATTGCATTAAGAAGTTGTTAATCAAAACATAGGTAATCAAAGTTTAATCTGGCAAAATATTCGATTTCAAATTTTACATGTTAATTCGTTAAGCAGACAAAGGGTGCTATATTCATATATATTGCATGTAAGAGAGTTCACCTTTATTATAATGGCATGTACTTGGCAATCAATCATTTCCTGCAGCAATTCAGTCTGGTCTCTCCTCCATAAATACGCCAGTGATACCAAGTTTAGGCGACTACAAACATTTTCGACTCTTACCCTTTGGTAGTCAGAGAGAATGGCTCCAACAGCAACTGCTTCAATTTGCAATTCATTCTAAAATTATATGAACATTTTTTATATATTAGGAATACGAATATTTAAATAAATATTTTTATTGCAATAAACTAGGACTTCTCACTATAAAAATTTCGAATTCTGGTTTTAAATAAATTGTTTTATTTATATGATTATTATTCTTTTGTAACTTTTATTTGCATAGTTTTTGACATTGAGCTCAATAATACATATAATTAACAGAATGTACCATATATAGACATTATACCTTAAACGGGAAAAGAGAGCTGGTATTGAATTATTAACAAAAAAAAAAAAAGTATTTAAGCATGCTAAAGCAATAAATTGTGAGTAGTTGTAAAAGGCGCTTATATTCAAATTAACATAGTACTCATACATATATGCAAACATATGTATGTATTTTCTAGTATCAAAAAATACGATTAAACTAATAGCAAAAGTAAACAAACAGCGCAAGAAGTTGTTTTGATGAGCGTGACAAAACACTTATTTAATATATCCATTTAGTTTGTATGTGGGTAAGCAGTCAAATGAAAATAAAAAAAAATAAATGCAGAATATTTGTACGAGTATACATTGCAAAAGTTATATTGGGCGCATACGTAAACACAGCAAACTAACACAACAAGTGGGCGAATAGGGTAGGACGTATGTGCATAAATATTGTAGATCGAATCTTGCAACCATAATTTTATTACAAAGAATAAGGTGTATACATTTTTTTTTAATCGATTTCCTACATATTTGTATAAGCAATCAGTTGCTTAGTGTTTATTTAAAAGCTTACAAACCACTTCATATTCCTAAGTTAAATTACTAACCTTGCATAACTCCAAAAGACTGTACAAATCTTCCACTTCATCATCATCTGTAGGCACATAATGTTTTCCAGTTTGTGTACTTTTGCCTTTAGTTTCACGTCTATAAAGTGGTAGACCCATTGCTTTCGCCAAACTTTCGATGCCCATGTGTCCGACGGTCTGGTACATAAAGCTATCTAATTCATCTGCATTAAAAGTTAAAGTTTAAATAACTTTTAACTAATTTTTGTATAAGGAAAAATTTCGATTTATTTTTTCAAATTAAAATACAATTAATATTTGAAATACAATTTAAAATTAAATTTTCAAATTAAAATACTTATAAATGATAAATATATTAACAAATAACTCTATAAAACATGCATGGCTATGCTGTTGCACAATAAGGTGAATGCTTCATTAGTACAGCAATTTCTTATTTATTCAGAATTATTTTTAAACAAATGAAAGCGAGAGCTATTTAATTAAGGCGTTAAAATTATGGAAACAAACAACTTTACTGATAATGATAATAATAGGTACATTTGTACATTTTTCCATTGTGTATAGATAAGAATATTGGTTTGCTTACTCATTTGAATAAGGTAAATACGCCTGTTACAATATTTATTTATTATTAGTAACTTGTAACTTAATTGAAAGCTTGACATTTAATTAACCCAAAACAGATTTTAGTGTTTTACTTTTCCTTTGGCAAATTGCATATTTCAATATTTGAAATACTACTCACTGCATATACACTTATTGCTTACCACGATCTTTTGGATGCAGGTTTGCTAGTGCCACAATCTCATGACCCTCTGCGACGCACTGCATCATATTGTAGCAACTGTCTTTGCCACCACTGACCATTGCAACAACCCTCATGATTTTGGGATTTCTAACGTAGCGATTGAATATAAATTGAAAATTAACAAGACACTATTAAAGCTGCGATGCCCCCTTAATCTGCCATTTTAAGTGATTTATAACATAATTCGTTTTCTTTGTCGGTGGTATCGATTAATTTGCATTATAACCTGAAAATACGAATACAAATATACATATAATCTAAGTATATTTATTTAACCTTTAATACCACCAAACCAATTCATATATAATATAATACGAGTACATACATATGTGCAATACTAAGATTCATGATATTACTTTAGGTTATACATACATATATTTCAAATTCAAAAATTAAACTTGGACAAGACGACACAAGATATTAAACAAAAAAATATGATCATAAAAATTTAATATAAAATAAAAGTTAATTGAATTACGATGAAATAAATAAAGCGCTTTGGGAAGATGCTCTCTAGTTAAGTAATTAAGTACGTCGTAAATTTACGCAACACCCTATTGAAATCAAAAAAATGTGTATTCAATTGTGACGTTAAACAATATTTTTCTAAACCAATTTCCCTAATTAATAATACTGAATATTTAAATCCAATATTAAGATACATTCTTTTAAGACGTTTTAAAATTCAAGTCCTGTATGACTAAGCCACTTTTGTACCCACTTCACTTCCACTTGGAATATGTGTAGCACAACAAAAACAATTGTAACATTCAACCAGCTTAATTTGATCACATTTATTTTCTTGCAGACGGGTTGTGTACTTTTAATTGCACATACCAAAACTTCACCGCTAAATATTGACCTAACGATTATATATATTTAATTTTCAATAAATTTTAGATTTACTTTTTCTTATACTGCGATTTAAACTTCATAATATTTGTGGTTATGTTGCATTTTCCACATATGTATGTACACAATAAAAATAACTAAATTAGCTACCTTACTCTATTTTGGACCTTCACCGATATTTCAATATCTTTTTAATCTAATCACATTTGATATTTTTCATATTATACAACGAATCACTATTTATTTGTTGCCAAAGAGCTCATATTAGTCTGATACCGATACAAAAAACTTCGCAAATTCTCATTTCACTTTGTTGACTTTTTCGACATCACGTTGGAATAATATCGTATACGATCTTATCTTGGGTCGATTCCGATTATTTTCATTATTTCAACTTTGACATTTATTGCATATTTTTATTTCTCGTTTTTCTATATCAATGCTACCGGCTGTTATTATTATAAATTAAAAAATCTCCATTTGAGTGAAAAGTTTAACATCTTCATTAGTTCGTAAACAAAACATATTAATATTAAGTAAACACCGCCATAGCAAACTTCAATTTTTTAATTTTAATTCAATTTGTTAAATGTATAGTTTAGTCGATTTTTTCAATAATTATATTTTTTTTAATTTATCGAAAAAATAATTTTTACAACAAAATCGAAAAAAACACACGTTGCACATCGTCATGCCATCGAACTTTGCGTTTTCTGGTATTGGTTTCGCTTATATTTTTTTGTTTATTTATATTAATTTAATTCGTCGCTGCAATCCAATAGTTATCGGTATTTCAACTTTGAAATAATCGATCAAAGCTGTCAGCTCATTCACCGGAAGTGTGCTGGAAGGAAAACAAAATTCAATTATTTAAATTATTTTTATGAAAAATGCATACTTACTTGCGCGGTGATCCATAATTTGTAAACATTGAGTATCCATAACCTCCGTCGGCCACATATTTGGCAGCAACAATATGATAAGTCTTATTTGGAGATAATGGTTCATAAAAGGGAATAGCGCAGTCAGTACATCGCACTTCTGCACTCACTACTCTATTTCCTTTAGCAGCCCGAAGATTGTACGTCACTCTAATGCCTGAACTATGTAAAAACTTATGAGTCTCGTTGACATTATTTTCTAGATCAATTGATGACACACTGTATTCTAAAGCTTCCAGCAAATATTTACCAGCCAAATCAAAGGTAATAAGATCACCTTCGTACGAACAAAGCGCAAAAGCTTCTTTGTAAGTAACGTCTATAAAATTTAAAAATTATTATTATTTTTATTTTGAATAAGGTAGTTGGGGGTTGGTTCTTACTGCCACGCGCAATGGGAGCTCGCATTTCAGCACTAGTTGTTATGGCTATTGAGGCATTGGCCCATATATTTGTATTGTAGGGTTCTAAGCGTAAAAACTTTAAGTAAGAATATTAACCGTTAATTGTAAATTTCATGAAATTTGATTCAATCTCCAAACTTACCGCATGCAAAATAGCGTCAGTGTATAAATTTCCGAGATTGCACTCAGTGTGAGCACAGTTATTATTTAGCAATGTTACTCTGGAAGTCCCAACAACAACATTGCCCTCAGTAGTGATATTAGTAGCCCATATTTGTCTCAGCTTTAAAACTTCCTCATCTAAAAAAAATTTTAAATTATTTTCTAAAGTTGAATTGTAAAGTGTTTATTATTAAATTAAAATAAAAACTTCATTTAATTATTTAAAGATAATTATACCGCGAATACAAGCACTTCGGCTGTACATATATAGTTTTTTTTGGAATATATTTTTTGAATTGCTTAAAGAAAAGGTACTTTTAGTTTTATTAAGTTAAGAAGTTTAAATTTATTTTAAGTATTGTTTGGGTGTATAATTTTATGCATACTATAACATTTATTAGTATTGGTTATGATTAAAAGTACAGCACAAATTAACAAAATATATTTTAATTATTAATATTATATTTATATTGTATGTTTGTTACTATATCATATTCAAAATCAAATTTTTTCCATCAACAGTAAGGCTTTGGCATTTTATATATGATATTATTGGTAAATACATTAATTCCGTAATACAGTAATGCGCCTTTCCTTTCCGACATAAATTGGAGTTACTTGAGTTGTGTATGAAAGCAGCGCATCCAAATCGGACATATCTTTCCTGTAATATAATATTGATGACATAATTAGAAAAAATTATATTTTTTTCAAAAGCTCATATACTCACTGAAAATCGTAACCATAATCTCTTAGCATTGCGAAACCATCCCCTCCTTCGGCTAGAAAATCTGGTGCGACCACACGATAAATTTTCGTTGAATCGAAATCCTCGTAAACAGGTATGTCACACTCGGAACAACGAACTTTAATATCGACCACTCTTTTTCCGACTGGGTTTGAATAATTGTAGGTTATCTTAAGACCAGATACTTGAATAAACCTGTAGGAGCTGCTAACTCCGTTATCCAAATCAATGGGGCTAACACTGTATTCCAATGCTTCTAATAGTTTATGACCAGGTATGTTGAATGCAGTGAGTTTGTTTTCAAACGGTGACATCGTCACTATGTGAGAATAAGTAATATCTACCAATACAAGTTTAGAAGATTTTATTTGAAAAAATAAAAATAAATTTATTATTACTAACTTCCTTTGTTCAGGGGTACACGCAGCGCACCCGTATTTACAATTCCAATTGATACGTTAGACCACAATCCTTCCGAGTACGGTGTTAAGCCAGTGAACTAGAAGTGTTCAATAATGATAAATAGCAAAGAATGGGTTTCTATGAGAATTAGTACTACTTACTGCGTGTATCATAGCATCACAAAAGAAGTTTCCCAAATTGCACTCATCACTGCTACATGTTGACTTTCTCAACTCCACTTTAGTCTCACCCTGAATAATTGCCCCCACCTTATCCACCTCTTCTTTAACGGGTATAATTGCAGCCAAAGTTTCTGGGTCTGAATACATCAATTGCACAGATAAAAGTACTAATTTAATAATGATCTAACAAAACAATTAATTTTATAAAATTAAAATTTCGTCAATGAACTTTTAGCTGGTAGCATTATAAGAAATTTAATGAGAAAGGGTATATTTAGAGTTTAGAAAGTTTAGCAACCCTTTTATTTGTTAAAAAAAAAAATTATAATACTAAAAACCGTAACCAGCGAACTTTTAACAAGTTTCAAAAATTTCAGGAAATATTTTTTCAAAAAAGTTCCGAACTCATTTCGTTTCAGTTTTGTTGCCAAATTGTTTTGCGAATATTAAACTCATATAATTAGAATCGCTGAATTTATTAAAAATAACAAATACAGTTTTCTAGTTATTATATCCAAATCTATGTTAAAATGGCATTCTATAAAGAAATGTTTGTTATCCCAATACAGATATACGTTTCTCTCTTCCTATGTATATGGGACTGGTATTACGGGTGAACGATAGGAGCGCATCAATATCTGTCATTTCCTTCCTAAAATGTCCACAAAAAAATGAAGTATTATTTAAAATGGGCATTTATGTACACATAAAAATTTGTACTAACTGCCAGTCCGATCCATAATCCCTGAACATGGTGAAACCACCTCCTCCTTCAGCTAAAAAATCAGGTGCCACGATACGATAAATTTTCCTCGAATCGAAATCCTCATAAAGTGGAATGGCACAATTTGCACAGCGTACCTTGAGATTGACGACTCGCTCACCAACTGGATTATTGTAATTATACGTGATCTTTAAACCAGCTACTTGCATATAAATTGGGGAATTAGTGGTATTACTATTTATGTCTATCGGTTGTACGCTAAATTCTAATGCTTCTAAGAGCTTATGCCCTGGTAAATTGAAGGCGGTAAGTACATTTTCGAATGGAGACATTGTCACCAAATGCGCATATGTGAGAGCTATAAGTAGAAAATGTGTTATTGTAATTCTTTAGAAATGTGCTATGTAAGTAAAATAAAACAAAAATCGCACATACTTCCTTTTCTTAGCGGCACTCGTAGACCACCTGTGTTTATTAGACCAATAGAAACATTCGACCATGGCATTTCAGAATACGGTGTTAAACCAGCAAACTACACATAGGCAAATCTGGTTAAACTCGAGAATAATATATAAACATTGCAGCACACTTACAGCATGTACCATTGCATCACAGAAATAATTTCCCAAATTGCACTCGGAATCGCTGCATGTTGACATTGCCAATTCGACTATTGACTCACCAACAACCACTGAACCCTGTGCATCAATGATCTCTTTCCATGGCTGCATAGCTTCAATAATGTCGGAGTCTGCGAATCATTTAACAAATTTTATGATTTATATTTTATAATGAAGATAATAAATTACCGTTTAGTTTATTAGCCCTTGAGGAAGCATGCAGTTAACTAATTTTTTTTTTTAAATAAATATATAATCGATTATCACTATACATATAAGTATGTGTATATTTGCACATCCACTACTTTTTTAGTATAATTATATATGTTGTGTATTAGTTCACTATACTTATTTACACATGCACTACCGTACAAATTGGTTACTGTCAAAACATAATTTGTATATTTTCTATACTACAAGCTGTGCGGTGGGGAAAGATATATATTAGTGACGCAATTTAAAATGGAATTTAGACCTTTAAGAAAAACTGATGGTAAATTTTAGAGAACAATATAATGCCAAATGATTTTCGAAAATATGTGAACAAAAGTAAATTAAGAAAGTAAATAAGCAATTATGGAAACGGGTTAAATTTAGTGTACAAATGATTATTCGAATCATCCGAAATATTAAGAATTTTATCTTCTACAAGAGCAATACATATTAATAAGATGTTTACATGCAGTAGAATTAGTATTATATTAGTACTTCAAATAAAATTATTTCAGCTGAATAAATTAGAGATGTTATTTCGTATTGCGTACTCACCCTGTGGTACACTGGATCCCATGTAAATCGGTGCACCCGAGTAATCGACCACGTTGCCTTCATCATCAAAGTATACTGTTATATTACCAACATATTTGGCATAAGCAGCAGCTTGAACGATCAGAATGCGATGACCATTTTCGTGCACAACTTCGGTGGGATACGGACCATATGGAGTGTCTGGACCGGGTAATTTATCGCCCGTATATAGGAAAGTATGCGAGTGGGAGCCAACTATAACATCGACATCATCAGCGGCATGCTGTGCAATTAATTTATCGACATTATAGCCGCAATGCGTAATGGCAATAATTATATTAGCACCCTGTGCTTTCAGCTTTTGCGCTTCCTCACGTATAGCAGCGCTTTCATTTTGGAAGATCAAATTACCAGTATTGGCTAAGTCCTGATTGCACAAAAAAATTAATATTAAACACTGTTCAATGAGTAAACTATACTTACATAGGTGGTTTCGAGAATAACACCGATGACACCGATTTTCCTGTTACTACGTTCGATTATTATCGATTTTTGGTATTTGCCCTGCATATCCGGTTCATCTCTTGCGTCCATATTTGCTACCAACATAGGTGAATTGATGCTCTCCAGAAATGGCACAACGCCCTCAATGCCATGATCGAACTCATGATTGCCGAGTGTCTAATTAAATGTAAAAAAAAATGATTTTTATTTATTATATGGTATTGTTTCTTATTACCATAGCATCTGCGGGCAGCATATTCAGAAATTGGCTTGTCACGTTCCATCGTCCGATATTGTACCACAGTGTGCCCTGAAAACTGTCGCCTGCATTGAAGTAAACCGGATTTTGGTCCTTTTGTTCTTCCAATAATCGCTTTACAGTGTAGACAGTTCGCGCTAAGCCCCCGATGCATTCATTGCCCGCATCACAAGTACCGCCTGATGTGTCTGTAGGCTCGAATCTGTATTATGAAATATAAAATGTCCAAATTCATAATTTTACTTATTTATTTATATAAAAGAGCTAAAAAATAATTTTGTAGAAAACGCAGTAATATAGAGCGCTCGAAAAATAATGTCAAACTTCCAGAAGTACTTAAAAAAGTTTCTTATGAGATTCTTATAGAATACTTAATGAAATAATAATGGTGAAATAAATATATTCAATACGTAATCGTGAAGAGATTTTTGTCAGACATAACCAAGCTTTTTTCCCTCAATACAATTGAACTGAATAATATCCCTTTAACTTCTACGAGGAAGGAAAATGTATATACTTTTTTTAAGTTTAAAACATCTGTGTTTAAATATAATGTTTTGAAACCACTTTATTTATGTTAAAATCAAATGTTATCTGGTTTCTAAACCTTTTAATTGCTTTTGTAAATCATTAATCATTAAGGAAAAACTAATGCCTAACTGTTTTGTGTTCGTTAACAGTAACATACACGAATATTAGTGGTTCCATTAATAATGTATGAATTAGTGATAATAAGGCAGATTACTTACTATCACTCAATACATACATTTCAATATAAAACATTTTATATAACACTACATAAGAATCAATACCAGGGAACGTATATGTCTGCTACATACTGAAATATTTTCGTTAGTACGACTGTACGTAAATCTTTATGCAAAATTGCAAAATGGATTTACATACATATATGTATGTATATATTAGGGGTAGTTCACCGAACTGTTAATTAACAACTACGCTGGTCTGTGTAGATTTTTAAAGTGTATTAAAGGCTACCTAGTGTAATCGCCTGAAAAAGAGGATTTTTAAGATGTTTTTAAAAGAAATTTTATGCATGAAATGTTTTATACAAGTACGTAGTTAGGCATGATCTACGTTTGTTAATATAAATTAAATAATATTAAACGAAATGGTAAAATAAAAAAAAAAAATTAAGAATTTTGCTCAAGTTGAATGAAGCTCCTTTCATTTAGTATAAAAACTAATGTATTATTAGTGTTATGAAAAAAAAATTTTTTTAGCCCGCCAAAATTGAAAGATTATTGTACGAAGAAAAACTCGTATATACCAAATAAGTAGAAAAATATCAAACGATCGGACGATTTGTTTTTGAATTATGTGAAACTGATTGAACTAAATGGCTACACGCTACACTTTAAAAGCCTGTAATTCAAAAAATATTTGAAATAAAATCAAAAATATACATAATCTAAGTATAGACTATCATATGGACTTTTTAGCACATATGTATGTATATATTTTTAATCAGGTTCAAGGAATACAAATTATGTATTCTTCAAGCGGTAGAATTAATACTTCAAATACCGAGATATCGCATCAAATGATCTCTCTTTTATTAAGTTTCAATGACACGTGATGTTTTCCAAGATAAAGTTAATGGTATTTCAATATACGATCTATTAATCATAAGTGTATTAAATAACATATATGGTATATAAGCACTACGGCGGTGTCTGAAGTCCAATTCTTTATGGCCAAAATTTTACCTTTACTGCCATTAAATTTAGCGAGCTTTTGCCTGCTAGTTATTGTATCGTAGGAAACTTATTTTTCCAGCATATTTTGGAAACGGTGCCTTGTAGCACATTTTATTCAGTGGAAAACTACTCGTATTCCAATTACACAAATGATACTTATTGTTGACTTCTGCTGTGTGATCACTTTCTTATAAATATTTTTCATAGACTTTTTGACATATTTTTTTTCCTAATATATCTGAAATCTTCAGCATTTACCTTGCGTGAAAGTCATTGATGTGAATTATGGATAACGGGAATATATCGGCACTAATGAGGGGCACGAACAGTGTGATTATCGTCAACAACTTCATATTACACTGCCAAAATACGCCGCGATTTCGATAGGTCAAGACACCGCCACAATAGAAACTGACAGCTGAAATATAATACATAATATGGGAAACCATTTGAGATATTAAAGTGCTCAAGTTTAATCTTTATTGGTCAAATAAATATATAACGAGATAATAAATAATAAAAGTATTTTTACCAGATAAATGAGACCAACTTTGGTATAACAGTACTTTTAACTGAATTGCTGTTGGCAAAAGTGTTGAGCCAGCATTTCAGAATATTTGGAAGTAATATAATATCAGCTTGAAAAGACTGGCACTGTAATTTAGTCAAATGTGCATGTGTATATATACATACACATATGTATACACATATGTATATATATATATATATTGTTTTTAAGTTTAATTTGTAAAATAGTCAAACAATAAATATACAATATATCAACTTTACTGTTAGTCTAGTGAGAATAATAAAATGCCAATCGCCCCTAGAAGGTGCTCAAATCTAATGTTTGTATCATTTTTATTAAAATACCGTTAATTACGTGCTCATCCAATCGTCATCATTACTAGCCTAACAATAATATTTGAGAAATTTTTCTATAAATTGGTTGGATTGACATATACAAATATGTACGATATATGTAAACATAACACTATTTAATCTTGTTTTTTGTTTTTAAATATACATATGCATATGTATACATATGTTAATATATCTGCATTGATTTTGATACACTTTTTCACATTGAAATTTGAAAAATCCAACCACATTAAATTAAAGATATAATTAAAATTAAAAACAAAAAACTAAATAAAATTAAAAAAAAAACTAAATAAAATTCAACAAATAAAAGTGACCTCAAGAGTAACCATTAGATAGCTTAACAATTTTTAAGAATTTAAGAGTTTCAAATATTTTGTAATGTTTTCAATATTTTAGTAAACAAAACGTTCTTAACCAATTTTATATCGATATCTCTAGTACTGATTGAATATACACAGTAAAAAGTTTACCAGATATGCAGAAATCTTTAAATGGGTGGGTAAACATTATTATTTTAGATTTTCACAGTTTTGTACGATGTTATTATAAAAGAGGTTTTCGATTGTTTTATACTTTTACGCATACAATACACTAATTTCAGCGAGTTATTCACTTATTCGAAAGCCTACTTACTTATAAATAGTTACTATTTGTTGTTTGTGTCCTAATTTTTTTAAATATGCCTATATTAAATTTATAATTTCAAATCAAAAATTTGCATCGCAAGTTAGACGCGTAAAAATGCAAGATGCATTTCCTGCATATGTGTGCCTGGTATGGGAAATATACATACATATATACAAAGGAATAACTTCAGGTATATGAACATGAATATATGGATGTCAACACATTTGAATCACTTACCCTGTTTGTATCAGTACACAAATTACCACTGAATATTTATTAGAATTTAAATCGCTACATAATTAAAAATTATAATTAAATATAATTAAGGAAATATATTACTTATTTCACACCAACTCATATTTCTACAGACTACTAACAAAAATGTACCTGTATTGATAAGTAATCTGAAACAACAGCTGAGATCGCATGGAGCGACTGTCAAAGTTAGCTAAAGCAAGTGTTGCCGCAGTACATGAAAAAATACATCAAAATACATGTCAGGTAGAAAAAATATCCAGCAAATAGTTAATGAACTTATTTAAATATGTTGCTGTACTCAATCAAGACCAAGATATTAAATTGTAGAGGAAAACGAATCCAAATTCAACACACTCGAGGTTTTCAACACATTTGGTCTAAGTTATCTACGTACAACATATCTAAACTTTGCCCCAGTAGGAAATCTCGCATGTCGATGTCAGCGTTTTTATTCATTTTTGAAGTCTAGAGTACTCTTTCAGTTATTAGATGCGTGGGTGAAACCTTTAGAATTAATTTACTTCAATACTTAATATAATGTGTTTTTATTAAATACAAAGTACTATAATTTATTTTATTTTAAATTTATTTTTCATTCAATTAAATATTAGCATTATTACAATACAATTATAAATCCAGCTCAATTATTCAATTAATGTACATACAAACTCGTTAATATAGTATATAGTGACTATAATTCAGGTATGACCTGTATATATACAAAATATATTTAAATACGTTTATATATATTGAGAAAAAATAAGCTATTTAATAGTAATATTATGTATGTGCGGTGAAGAGGCATCATTAGCTTTTAACATATTTACGAGATTATGAATTAATTTACAATTTGAAGTGGTCATATGAAATAGATTGTAGAATTAGCTAAATATAATTAAAATGTATTGCTAACTTCGCCTCTTACAAGACAGCAATGCTAAATTGATATAAAAATTATAAAATAAAAACAATTACTAACAAAATATAGTGAAATATAATGTGAACATGAAAAGATGTGAATATTTTTCTTTAAGAAATTTAAACAAATTAAAGAATACCGTAAAAGTAAAAATCAACAAAATTAAGCAATTATATTAGTCACATACATTTTGTAGTAAATTGCATAATAAGCAATATATAGAAGTGATGCAAAATATGAGAGCTTATTGTTGGTCTTAGGAAGTCATTTGAAATGAAATATTTGTGAAATACACACTTTTCCTATATCTTCTCTTTCTCTTTGCTATTAGTTTGTTTTCTTATGGTAGAGATATTATTTCAATTTTACAATATCATTTAATTTTTGGACTAATAGTTTTAAAGAAACTTGAAATATCAATTCTTACTTTATTTACAAGCGTACACACTTCTCAATGGAATTTTATAAATAAGTTGTCTAAATATACTCGTTATAATAGTTATTGTATTTCTATGTTATCAGTGCGTTTGCATGCCTACACGCAAGTTTTCACAGGAGTGTCTAACAACAAACTCTTTTAACAAATGAAAAACACACTATTTTGTAGTAATTCATTTGGTAAAAGAGGTTATAACAACTCCGTTTGTATTAGAAGTTTTCAAATTCTTAATTACAATTTACAATTAATTACTTATTTATAGTAATTGGCAAAAAGCTAGCATTAATGATTTTCTCATGTGCCTCAATAGGACATTTTAGTTAAATATTATACAAACTCTATAATATATATGTATTTGTTATAAGCCAATAAATGTAATTCAAAATAATATAATAATAAACAGGACTGTAAATTTAACTCTTGCAATATTTAAAATGTTGCATATAATACAATTCCAATTTAAAAACTGCATTGTTTTGTCAAAAATACCTCAAGCCTCATACAAAAAAATATATATATGTATATTGTGTTTAAAGTAAATTTTCTTTGAGTTTATAATTATCTTCAAAAACGGAGATAATCTGTTTTAACATTGCACGTTCTTTCAGTGTGAATTTTATAATACTAAGTCAAATTACAATTTATTTTTTACTTTTAAACATTTTATTACTACTATTAGTAATCAATTTAAGATTCCAATAAAATGTTCACTGTGCAGTCATTTGCCATATTGCTTTGCTTAGGAACTGATTTCTTCTTTAAACAGCATTGCTTGTTGTGAAAATCGTTAAATGTTTAATACATCTCTCTTAAACCATAATCGTGCTCATTCATAGCAGAAGAACCGATAAACAATATGGTGTACTGTTGACTTTTGCACAGTGCACTTTTATTTCAAGTAGCGAATTACTTATTATGCGCTTATTTCTAATAATGAAGCAAATTTTGATACTTTTTAAGTACTTTTAACATGTAAATGATTTTTATAGTGCTTTCAAACATGCATAATAAGCAAGCACGTGGCTGGCACATAAAAAATACCAACAAAAAAGTTTGCTTTATAAATAATTTTGACACACTGTTATTATATATAAAACAAACTTAATTCTTTTATATAATTTGAGATAATTCTTTATATAAATAAATTTTATATGTAGTCGAAAGGAAAATTTGCTTCATTAGAGAAACATTTGCGCTTCCTCTAAGCTCGCAGCTATTCTCATAAATATAATTTATAATTTTTACGTTAATTTGGTAAATTTTCAATTTTAACTGCGCATTTTCTAAATTTTAATTGTAGATTTTAGTGTTAATGGCTTTTTAGTATTAGCTAGCTATAAATGTGCTCAATAAACAAGCAAAGATTTCAACTCCAATTTATTTCCCTACTCGCCAGCAGAAATTTATCTTATATTGGTAAATAAGTTCAGTACAGATTTATTCTCCTTTTGACTGCGCGCTTTACTAAAGACATTCCAAAAGCGTAGCGTCTCATCACCAGCTCCCGTCACGATTGCTTCTCCATCCGGGCTAAGTGCCAAATATAGTACGCGATATGAGTGACCCGTTAGTTTGGCCACTTGTGTTAGTGATGGATATTTCCAAACCAATATTTGATTTTGGGAGTAACCATGCGTTGATACCAGCTCAGATGAGTGTTTCGACCATGCCAAATTGCACACTTGTGAACCAGTGTCGACGCACTGCATTGGCTGGCCTGTTAAAGTGTTCCAAAACCGAATGCAACGATCGGCAGTGCCGCCGCCACTAGCCAATAGACCATGATGATGTGGTGACCAGGCAATCGCTTTTACCGCTGCCGTATGTTCTGTATACGATTGCACGGGATTTAGCGAATGTTGATTCCATACATAGAGACGGTTGTCATTGCCGCCACTTGCCAGATATTGATTGTCCGGTGACCATTTGAGACCACAAACCTCTTGTCGATGGCCTGCCAAACGACGTTCCGATTGTTGTGCTGGTGTGCGTGTGTCCCGCTGAATTATCAAACGATCACGCGAACCACTGGACAAAATTTCACCATTCCACGCTAAAGCGCCCACTCGTGCAGAATGACCAGTCAATTTATTGATCTAAAAAGAGTTGATGCTTCAGTAAACTGCTCACAATCGTGCATTTATTATTAATATTTATGTAGTATTAAGCTTGTTAGCGTACGCACCTGTTTACTAGCAGCCACATCCCAAACGGTGACGAAGCCGTGATGTGTACCCACCGCCACCAAATTGCCACGCTCATTCCATGACACCGATGTCACGGTGTTCGAATCGGTGTTAAGGTCGCATAGGCGTGTTACCTGTAAATTGAAAGTTCAAATGTGCACATCAATTTGACTGATTGAAAATAAATAGTAGCAATGACAAAGTTTTTATAATAGCCGTAGGCAAGCAATAGCTCGTCTAGACAGTATGAAATGTACAGAAACTTGTTTTCCTAATACTCATTGAAATTATTATAATACGTACTTGACTAGTACATGCGCTCCATAGATAAACACAGCTGCCCAGTCCGACAGCGAGCACATTTTGAGACGACCAATCGACCAAATTTAAATAGAAATCATCTTGCAGCTCTGGCGCATCTAACACCTAAAAAATTCATAATTCTCATTCGTAAATTATAAATATCGTTTACGCATAAATTTACCTTAAAGGGTATACGCGATATTTTTCTGGTTGCTTTTCGTGGTGATCGCAACAGCTTCTGACTCTTCGTGCTGACTGGTGAGAGCGAATATGGACACTGCTCATTGAAATCCTAAAAAGAAAGACAAATAGTAATAAGTGTTATTGAAAACAGCGTAGAAATTAGGAATTCTCTAATTAGGTGCACAAATAAATAAAACGTTACAGTTAGTTTTTCGAAGTCAAACAAACGGTGAAGCAGAATATGCGAATTTTAACAAACTTAAGCAATTAGCAGTGTTATGCGAAAAGACGGTATTGGTCTCAATGAGCTTCCGTCTATTTTTGACAGACTATAATATACCAAGAGCATATTAGAACTTCCTGCTAAGGTATTAAAAACTAAAAAAAAACTAAACATTTGAATGGTTCCCATAGAGAAAATTTATTTTATTTTTTAATTTTTTCTTGTTAGGATAAAAGTAGATTACAGTAAAAGGTGTTAAAATTCGAGTTGCAATAAAGTTTAAAATTCCTATATGGCGGAAAATTGTATATAAAAGCGGGTAATGCATGTGAGATTCTCCGCGGCCGATATATTGTTTCTTGTTATGATAAGATAGTCGGGTTTACGTAACTCGAAAGAATGCTGAACAATTTGCCTTATTTTTTTATCGTGCTGAAACAATATCTTGTTTACATAAGATTATTAATACAAATGAGAGCGGCTTATTGATTGAGTATTGTCTTTAGAACTTAAGACAGGAGAAATTTTGATAATTTACATTTCTCACTGTTGCAATTATAAATATATACATATATATTAACATTTCCGAGAGTTAAAAGACCAACTTCATATAAATATATAGATGAATACAATATATTTATTTTTATCATTAATCTATAAAAATGTTTATAATGTTAGATTATATTATATACTAATTAATTGATATTATTGTTATCCATCTATGAATCTTAAGGCTTTGTTTTATATATATGTATATATACATTTTTGTTAAAATTTTAACAAAAAGTTGCATGCTTGGTGTTGCGGTTCGGCGTCCCATTCGCCGGTGGGCGATTTGATTTATTTAGCGTAACGAAATACAAATGTTGAACTGCTAAAATCGAGTAAAATTTGATTTGGCGCCGATTCTTAAATATTAATTTGTGAAATCGATAACGTTAATATCGGTAAAGTCGTTAACAGTAAGCAACTGTGTTCTTCTGAACACAAGCTAACTGAGCACCACAAGTTTTCTAAAACTGTCACGCCTACTTTTGTCGTTTTGGAATTTGTGAAATAAACGTTTAAATTATCCTATACACACAGTTGTTATTTTACTACAAGATTAAGGTTTTTATTAATAGAAAATAAATGTTTTGTGACCTGTGTATATGTCTTATATTATTAATTTGTGTTTGAAACTAATAACCTTTTCATAACATATTTGTGGGAAAATTTCATCTGCTGTAGAGAAATGCTTTACGAAGCAGGCATTGGCCGGTAAAAAAAAGTATAATTGTCTAAAAGTATGATTCGTCCACTTTTTAAATTATCAAAGATTATCTGCCCTGAGCTGCACATACTAAGCATTTTAATTTTTTTAGCAATCATGTCGGCATCAAGCAAAAATTTTTTTCGATGTTTTCAAAGCATATCTGCTAAAATCACTGGTGTAAGCCATGAATTAATAAAACGACTTGGAAGGTAGAAATAAAGATTTGCGAAACTTACGGTTTAAGCATACTCGCAAGAACTCTCGCAAATATACAATGGAGGATCTAATGAATTCAATGTTAATCTCTTCAGATTCATTGATAACACTGTGCATCACAAGTCCAGCAAAGAAAGCCTTTTTATTTGATAGGGAAGCCCAAGAAAATTAGTTCCAAAAAAATGTTTTCTTCTCAATTAAGGAGCTCAATTGTAACAAGAAATATATAAAAAAACAATTTTTAATAAAAAAAAAAAACTTAATAAAATAAAATATTTGTTTTTAAATCTAAAAAATAAGTTTTTCATTTTGTACCTTTTTATGCTTGTTTACGATTTAAATTATCAAAGTCGTTTAATTCCTGTTGTTTTGCAAGTAATTAATTTCGTTACGCTAAATCAATCCAATCGTCCACCATTTATCCGAGGTATATTCTTTTGCAACGCGGTTAAAGTCTTACACGGCAACCCGGATGAAATGATGGATTATTTTAAATCATAAATATAATATTAGTATGTACATATGTTAACCATTTATTAAATTTGAAGTCTTTTTTAATCAGCATTTGTTGTTCGTAACATAAGGGTTAAATAAAATCGATTTTGTGCGAAAAGATCAATGGAAAAAGCAACTATGTTGATATGTAAGCGTTATTTTTATATATTTGTGCGTAAGGTTCAATTGTGTCTACGCATTTTAATGGAAATCAACTAATGCTTTTTTAGCATACTGAACGAATGGGAGAACAGTGGAAAGGTGTCACGCGATCAACAATGTGCTGTCTTTGTAAATATAAAATCGTACGAATGTGTGTACACACATACAAAATATATGGATATGTAAACTAAGGTAACTAATAGGATTTTATATGCAATGTGAGCATGTAGCAGTGTGTCTAGATATACATATGTATATGTAAGTAAATGGCAAGAGAAACTGTGTCAATGTGTTAAAATTCAAATCAATTCAATTTGATGCATTTCAAGCAGTAAAGAAACTGTGTAAAGGGTAATAAAACACACTACAAAATAACAGTGATTGCGCATAGATATGTACATACATATATATATGCTAAATATGTATCCAAATTGTACAGAATAGATTGCAGTGCCGACTGGTTTTATGCATGAGTAGTTCTGTTTGGACTTTGCACAGAATGAAATTGCAATTGTTTAATAAAAAATATGGTATATCATTTTATTTTACTTTTCTAATTTTTCTGCGCCCATGAACCTTCAATATTAGTTGAATTATTTTTTATAGGGTTTTCTCATTATAATAACTATATTAAATATTATTAATTTAAAGTTCTTTGTAAATTGCTAGTATGCATTTTCAAGCTAATCAACTATATTTTGTTATAATTCTCCAGTTATCAATGAAAAATTATCGAAATATCGATCGGGTTAACTTAAAATTGATAGTAGATAGCAACTCAGCTGTTATTGGATTCCATTTGCTAATTGCTAAAAAATATTTAATTTATTTTATTAAATGTGCTGGGGTTATGGGAGTTCCTTTACATTTGTCGGCCAAAGTCATTCACTTGTTCTGGGAAAATGTTGGTGAGAACAGAAAAAATATCACTTAAGCTGTGTTTTACCTAGATATGATAACATATCGCATTAATGACAATGAATTGGTTTGTGGATACTGAAGCTAAAGTGGGCAAATACGATATATATGTCTATGTTGGGTAAGAACATACGCACATATATACATATGTATATACAAAACTGAAACCCGATATAAGCTGAAAAGGGTGGAGTTTCTATTTACGTAGAACCCAAGTCCGAGTAAACAAAAAAATACTGTTCCAGATAACAAATTAACTGGATTCTTGTGCTTTATTTATGTTATTTGTTTTCAGCACTTGTTGCAAAGTTAATATCAATTTTTTATGATTTATGCTGTAAAAACCGTGTGGTCGGCGCTGAATGTGAGTCAACGCTAAAAAATATTAATGCTAAATGTATTTTTGGTATGATAAAACCGAAAGGAATTTGGGTGTGAGCGTTTCTAACCTTTTTTGAGTTTTTGTAGAGTTGGAAATGATGTAATCAGCTGAGAAGCCAAACATTAGTTTATTTCGCACAAAAATATATATATACCATATATATATTAGTAATTTTGAGCTGTACGTATATGTGCATATTCGCAAACAAACTGCATTGTGTACATAACACGTTTTTGAAACCAGTCTACATATTATATGTACAAAGTAGAATACATAACTCTCATCTCAAAAATATTTATTTTTTATAAAAACTATTAGCAGAAAGTAACAACGTAGTAATGTATTGTTTAGAATCAGATATTTTGAGGAATAATACTATAGTCTTTATCTGGGGATCGGTCAAATTTTTCTAAAAAAAAAAAACCATTAGCGACAGCAGAAAGCCATGATTGTTGCAGAAGTACTTTAGGGGCTCTACTTTATCACGAACAAAAGTACCGCCCCCAGGAGCGTGGCAAATCCTCTAGAATACAAAATGGCCGTTTTGCCGCCCTGCACACAGATATTTTTCCACCGCTTCTGCGACGTCTAGCGGCCGGAGATGTAAGCTAAAGTATATATTTATCCCGAACAAAGAGTACAGTAAAGGTCGCGAAGTCATCGAATACTTCCCATATGCGATTATAAATTATATAGAGGCATGTTTTTGTTAATAAGTTCAGGGTTGCATATTTTTACTTGCTTTTAAAGCCTTACAGTTGATTTCAGTAACATATTCAAAAATATAAAGTAGATCTAAATATTTTGTTCTACACTGTATGTACATACATATACGTATGTATAAGATAACGGATTTTCTTGTCAACTTTGACAGATTTCATTTGCTTGATAAGAATTTTCGTATTATGTTATATTAAAATACGTACATATATGTATATGAACATACAATGTCTTCATTTGTACATCTGTACCTAACCTTTGTACGAATCTGTTTGTAACGATACAAATACATTCGGTATATTCGACAAACGTGAGTTCTGAAGCGGCTGAAAGGCGTCTGACCGGTGTATTGTGTTTTTCTCAGCATTGTTGTATAATTCAGAACTAAGTGACCAAACAAAGTAGATATGCTTATTTTTAAAGCACATTAACCTCTTAATTGTCAAAACATGACTACCAACTGCCAAAGCAGAAAGCCAGAAAATATCTCAACTGTAAAGTGACTAATGAGCACTGAAAAAGCGGCATTAAATAAGTGAGATTATGTACGAATTTCGGTTTGCAATTGTAGTCGGAAAGTTGGCATTATTTGAACACTTGAAAAATGTTTCTATGATTGCCACTTTCAATCGGCTTTTGAATAAATCATAATCGCACTTTGAAAGGCTTTTTTTTACCATAATTTTAATAAATAGGTTCTATATATATATTATTAATTCATATTCATTATTCATACAC